ATCCAAGATCTGTGGTAGATGTGCACATCTGTACTGTTACGTGCTGCTCTACCCTGAGGGACATGACATGAGTTGGCATGCGCTTGCTGCATGTCTAATAAAACAAAATGTACTTTTCAAAATGTACTTCAAAAATGTAAACGTCTGGGAGAAAGAGTGAATAAGAGTGACGACAAAAAGAGCGCTCTATTCGGTACGGTTTTCTGTGCGCTCACACACACCTGAAGCGTGCAGCCACGCTGAATTGAGCTTCTCTTACTTTTCTTTTCTGAATGGACAAATACACACAACAATGTCTAAATGTCCATTTTGGAGAGTATTCACGTAAACACAGTCGGTTTTGTCTTTAAAAATATCGGATGTGCATTTGGCACAATTGGATCCGCACATTTGGTCTTAAAGTGACAGTGTGTAATAAACCTAATGCCTAGTGCACTTAATATTAATCAATCAACAAAAGAAAAAGAGAAAAGCATCACTGCTCTTTAATAGCTTTAATAAAGATTAATTATATTTAATTTATACAAATAAATGTGTCTGCTTGAAAGAATGATGTATGCAAGTTGTTATAAAGAATGCACATTCATTAAAAAAACGTGTTCTACTTTAGGAGAAGTGGTTTTATTTAATTTTAAGATTTTTTTTAATGTCACAGCAGTTAAATCTGTGTCTCTATTGCATGTTCAAACGTTAAAATCATTCATATTAATAGGTTAATAGATGTTTTCTCCGGGAGTATATGAATGCATTTCAAATGAACTAAACCCATTACATTTTAGTTGACAGATAGAAGACCACATTTGCTCTGCAGCAACAGCATAGCAGATTTAGTCCACTAAGACCAAATACATTAAGAACCACGTACAGATCTAGGCAGGTGGAGCTGGGGGAGGTGGAGGTTTTCAGTGGATATATACCAGCAGGGACCTGGTAATACAATATCATATATTAATATGAGGTTTATGACACTGTAGTGACACCATGCCAGGTTTTGCCTTGTCATAGACATAGGGTTTGCCCAATTGGGATTGTGTATATTTATCAATATTCTAAATATCTACAGAATTTTTTTGATCAATATTCTGGATTATTCTAATATTTTGTAACCAATATTCTAAAAACAATTCTTAATATTTTCGAATGTCTGAAAAGTTTGGGAATCCCAGCTCTAAATTTCCCCCCAAAAGTATTTATGTAAGACATATTAAAAAAAATACAGTATCATGAGGTAAAATATTGCAATACTTTGAAATATCTATTTTTGTGATTCTACCTCAAAAACCCTATATATAAACTACCTGAATATTTTATTTGCATATTTTAAAGACATGGTGGTTACATGGTTAATCACTTTCATAATTCAGAATGCTCAATGGGTTTTAATGTCTGGATGCATAATTGTTGAATTGTACCTGCCATTCAACTATTGTGGAAAAGTACAAATTGATGTTGCTTTGTAATTTTGGCTTCTGTAATGAATGAAATCATTTAATCTCTGTAGAGCAAGGAGAGGTGTTTGTTTGGGGGTTTGGAATTCTGGGAAAAGGCCCAAAACTTTCAGAGTCAGCTGTCCCAGAAAGAGTGCCAGCCACATTTTTTGGGAGGTCAGAGTTCAACCCCAGTGTGAAGGTCTCGTCCATCCGCTGTGGACTCAATCACTTTGCAGCAGTCACAGGTAAAAACTTTAAGCTGAACATTATCTTTGCACGTAAATTCACTCAAGATGTCAAGTATTGTGTAATTATGAGGTTTTAGACATTTTAAATATGCTCTCATTCAGGATACTAACACACATTCTCTTGAAAACACCTGCTAATAGTGCTTGCATAACCATGTGTGTATTAAATCCAGCATGTTTCCTGGCCAGCATCCATGTAAATAGAGGGCTGAGTTATTTGCTACATGAATATTGTTTTCAGATCGAGGCGAGCTGTTTGTTTGGGGTAAGAATGTGAGAGGATGTCTCGGCATTGGGAAACGTGATGACCAGTATTTTCCATGGAGGGTAAGAAGCCAACAATGCAGCATTTTTTTCTTTTAACATAGAAAAGTGTGGATTTAGTTTTGCAAACTAGGGCTTCCAATAATTTTTTCGACCAAATTAATTAAGTGACACGCTGATTAATTATCCAAATGAATCACAGCTAACGACACATAAATATTTTCTGAGAAAAGCCCCCAAATTATCACAACATGCTGCATTATTGTGGCAGGTGTAAACATTAAATAGACACAAATATATATCCTACTTTGTTATAAATGAATGTTAAATTGACAACACTATACCCAGTAGCTGTTCTTTATCCTAATGTTTGTCATATGTTTTAGGTGACGGTGCCAGGCCACGTGAAGGATGTTGCCTGTGGTGTTGACCACATGGTGGCGCTGGTCAAATCCATCATATGAGACTGTCTTTGTAGATCCAGGCTATCTTCTCTTGCACATCTTCAGCGAACACCATCAGCACGCAAGCTTTCATAATTTTTGCATAAACTTTGGACTTGTTAAGGGCCCTCACTGAAGAGTCTTCATGTCACACTGCATCAAGCAAGCAAAGGGTGTGTTTAAGGTAACATAGAAACAAGACACCTCCTCTGCTGTTTACAGTGTGTGGACTTCAAAAATAGACGTGAGTCTGACACCTAAATAACGCAAGAGCGATTAAGTCTTATGTTGGCTACTTGACATTTTGGTATTTCGTCATTACCTGAGGTCGACACTGTTCAAACTAAAGCCACATTATCAGTGCTGTTTCTGCATCTGCTTTTTTTGTAAAAAAACATGGTTTGAAAACTAAGGAAAGTAGTCTGAAAACTACAAGGAAGCCTACACAAACGGCATATTTAAATGAAAGCACTTTTTGGCATGTTGGCATGAAATGGAAGTGGAGTTATTGACACATCAGAGTGAAACGAGTTCTGAACAAGTAAGAATGTGGGGCCGCTGGGGCGGGACTTGCTTTTGTCCATGGGGAATTGATTGGATGGTTGTGGTTTGTTATTTGGTGGATCTTATTTGAGTGACAGGTTGTCCCGCCCTCACGCCAGTAAACATGTCATCAGAGAAGAGAAGAGATGTCGCTGCATGAGGGAGTGAGTTATTTTAATGATTACGAAGGCACATGCATTAAAAAAATTAGGCAAACTGGTAAGTAATTTATAATAAATACTGCAATATTCCATTTCATGGTGACTAAGATATTAAAGCTGTTAGTATCATGGTTTTTTCAAGTTCTGAGTAATGAATTTCATTGCTTTTGTGATTACTGAGAAAAAAAATATTTAAAAAAAAACTCATTCTATAAAATTAAATATGTATAAAATAATCTTTTAAAACCATAAAATTCAAACCCATTGCTAATTTGACCTTAAATTAGCTATAACTAGCTGATTAAATATTTTATATTTATATTATATAATGGCCTGGAAAAATATTTAAAAATTCCTTTATGTGGAGGTTTTCCTTGACTGTGAGAAGTGGTCACAGAAAAGAAAAGCAACTTTTAAAGACCCCCTGTGGTGAAAATAAAAAGTTTTTAAATGTTTATACGCATGCCTATGTGGTGTTTTTAATATGTTTTAAGACAAACCAAGTGAAAAAATTAATAAGTCAACACAATTGCTCTTCCTCCTCTGAGTCAGTTTCCTCTGAATCCTATCTTAATATGGCTGAATTAAACCAGCATTTCCACTTGCCATTGAGCAAGTGGATCAGATATATTGACCTGCGTGTACTAAATGAGGCAAGGGTGTAGAGTTACATTCAAGCTGTTTTAAGGCATGACAAAGTTATTTTCACAGGGGGAAAAACAAACATTTAAGGGATGAGTTTTAAGGGATAAAATTGACTACAGGGGGACTTTAACTGATCATTTTTAATGGAAAAATGTGTTGTTGGATGCCTTAAATATAAATAGTAGATTGGGTCTTAAGCCACTTCAGGAAGAACAAAAAAAAAGTTATTTAAAGTTATATTAAATTCCTCTATCCTTCATAATCATGTACATTTTATTTGTACCAAACTGTACTGATAGATCACATAAGGTTATAGTACCATTTATAAAGCAGTATACATTCTGAGGGAAAAGAAGGGAATAGTTGAAAGTCACCCTCTTTAATGTGCAAGTATAAAGGAACAGTTTCTGACCTGTCGAGACAGAAAAAAAAAAAATCATGAAGGTAAAACAAGTAATCAATTCATGACCTTTTCTGGTGTCTGAGCTGGTTTAATCAAATTCTCCAAATCAATCATTTGTATGGGTAAGTTAGAAATAGCTTCAGCAGATATCATCCCACAGAAATCATTTGGAAATCACAGATATGACTAAATCTCTTTATAAACTAGACAACAAATCTCCAATTGGCACATGGTCTAGCTTCGCATGGTGTAAACCCCCACTGTACGCTTAAGAAAACATGATTCAAACAGTGGAAAAAAAGGAGAGTAACAATTGAATAAAATCAAACCTAAATACAAACTAAGCTGAAAAAAAAAAGAAAAAGTTTCACGTCTTTAATTGTCAGAGAACAAACAGGTCACCCCTTCTTAACACTGATAAATGTATGGTTTAGCAAATTTCTGCTTCATAGCTGATAGAAGAAAAACTTGTGGAAAAAGACACCCATCCATGTGTAAAGAGCAACAAGTGACCCCTTCTAAAAGAGACTCCTTCAAGGGGAAGATACTCATCCCCGGTATTTCACATCAGAAGAGTAAGATCTGTAAGATAGACCTTAAATAAAGTGCAGACAAGGGGAGCTTGAAGGCCTAAACTAACGCCAGTGTCTGCGACACCTGACCTTAACTAACATTCAACAAACGACAGGTTTCCCCCAACCTTTTCCTCCGTGGATGAAGAGACAGCTTTGCAAAATACTCAAAAGAGCGAGTAGTGGTAAAGAGGCATTTTGTGCGATCGCAAGCGCGCAACGACTCCAGGGCGGAAATAAAAACGACGTCCTCAGACCAATTTTTAAAAAAACAGTATACAGTAAACTGCACAATTCATGTACTTGTGTGTGTGTGTGTGTGTGTATTTAAGCTGAACAAGTGCATGTGAAAGGTTTCACCTCACCTGAATCCTTGTTTCCAATTGCTGCCAACTCAGTCGGGTGGACAGAAAACCCATTGATTGTACTTTAAAGGCAAAAACAACAACAACAACAACAACTAATTCATTACCCAGACACTTGGCATTGAAATGTGAATATAAGGATTGAGGTGAGGGGAAAGAAACAAAAGCTCTAAATAAAAACGGGAAACTTTCCGAACGAGCTTGAAAAGCCTCTTTCAAAGACTTAACTTGTGACTGGACCATTTTGCAGAACGTAAAAAAAACAGTAATACCCTGAACCATCAAATTGCATCCAGAAAAAACATCACGTTTTAGACGAGGAGCCTGTTTATGCCCCGTGTCTTGGCACTGCAAGGGAAAACAGGAAGGGGGAGGGGGGAACTAAAACTAAATCTTGAGATTCATTGGAGTACATTCTGTGTCCTCTAGGAGGACCTGCCACTAATACATAATAGTTATTTTGCTATAAGTCCAGGCCCTGTTGCCATGGTAAAATGGCGAGGAGGAGTGGATCAGAGGAAGAGGAGTGGATCAGAGGAAGAGGGGTGGGGGAGAAAGAAGAGGAGAAAAACACTGGATTCACACACTATCGCAGAGTCCCCGTAGAGGTGCTGGGCAGGGATTAAGGGTTTTCTTTTTTGCAGGAAGTGATGTTGTCGTTCAATACTGACTGCAAGACTAGAGTCCCCCCCTCACTTATCCATTCCCCTTCAGATCCTTTTCCCATAACCACCCCCAGAAGCAGTCCTCGGGTAAGATCTTGGCACTTTTAAGAATTATAAGAAATCTAAATGTTTTCACGGACATGGGACCTTCTGTCCAATCACCTCACTGTCCTGTGCTCTCATTGGTCCTCAAGGCTCCGATCACGCTCTGGATGTTCTCCTCAGGAACCTGGCGGGAGCAAGATGGCTGGTGTTAAACATTGCCCTCGCTTTCTGAATATTAGGAGATGGGAAAGCGTTTATATGTGAATGCTGAAACTCACCAGAGCGTGATCGAACTTGAAGGTACTGATATAATAGGCTGGAATGTCAGCGGTCGCCAGCGGTTCAGATATCTGAGCCACAATGCCACATTCATCTGATGGAAGACAAACGACTTTCATTAGAAATTCAACTACCACATCCTCAAGTTTCAAATTGTGCATTTGATCTTATTTACTGAGGTGTACTGTGCTTAGAAGTCTGGTCATTTGTTCGGCAAATTTTCACGGGTGAAATAGTCGTTTAAATAGGAAACCGCACAAATTTCACATGAAGGATTTTGCATCGGGTTCAGCTGACCATGCAAATTTACTGCATTGACCGACCGACGGCTGCTTGGTTTGAAAGTGACTTGTGTGTGAGCTGTGCTTCATACATCGCTACACAATTGACAAAAGACGTCAGACCCTTTTTTGTCTACAAAATTTAGCAGAACTTTTGCTAATGTGACAGCAAAATGTGTGCAGAAAGCTAGATTTTTTACAATCAAATAAAATATTGGGGCTTAGCATTTGCTAACGTGTTCTAGGGTCCTGTTTACACCTGGTATTAAGATGTGTTTTGGTCAATCGGATCACAAGTGGACGACACTAAATACAGGCGTAAACGAGGTCTAAAAGGTTGAGCTTGTCCACTTCTAACCACTTCCAGGTAGTCGAAAACACATTCGACCGGATTGCTTTCGTAGTGTAAACGCTCATGTGTTCAAACAGCCACAAAAGACCGTCTATTCTCCGCCTACTGACCTAATGTGTAAAGATTATGGGAAGCGCGCTAGCCAGACTGGATTTAAACTTTGTCGGCTGGAGACCCGAGTTTGGTTTGAAGATGAAAAACGTACCAAGCACAATGTTCTCTCAACATTCCTGATTTCTAACACTGACAACTGCAAGATCAAGCTGACGAAAGCTGATGCTCTACGTACGTTTTTCCGTCGTCTCCGGTCGTGTTCATATGTAAATTGCGCGAGCTTATTTTGTTTATTAGATCAAAAGAAAACCCTCTCCTCGAAGAAATCAGGACAGGAGTGGTTAAAAGTGGACAAAATAGACTCAAACCATCTTAATACCAGGTGTAAACAGGGTCTAGGTGTTTTTAGCACATTCTAGGTGGTTGATTAATGGTCCAAAGCAAAAGAACCAACCCTCAAATTCTGGTTCCTCGATATTGCTCAGGTCAAAGGGATTTTCATTGTCACAGTAACCCAGTTTTAGCCTGAACTCACCAAACCCTAAGGGTTGTCCTCCGATGCGGACCATTTTCCAAAGCTCTCCTGATGCACTGGTGAAGAGGACGTTGTTTGGAAACCTGACAAGAAAAGAGCAGCATCTAAACCATATATAATGATAACAGAACAAAGATACTATAGTACACATTTAATTAGAAATTGAAATCAGAAATATATATTCATGAAGCAAGTTACATTTTAACTGCACACACAAAGACATGATTCAACAGGCTACAGGATGGATGTATTTTTAAATAGAAAGAATATTTAAAGAATATGAAACCACTGCAGACAAAGTGGAGTCAAAAGACAAAGAAATCCACTTTACAACTCATGCAGGTCCATAAGTGTCAGTGTATATATATAAAAAAAGTGTATTTAACTGAAACAAGTCAATATAAAATGAGCCATTTTAGTTTAATTCACATATAAACACTGATCAATGCACACAAAATATGGTCAACAGAAGCTGAAACATGCTTCAACGCACAAGCAGCAATGAGGTTTGTTATCACATGTTACGCAAACTATGGCTGAGCTTCTGAATGAACCACTGAGGTTTCATAGAAGGTTTTATTACTTTACAATGTCTTTATGAACTTTTTGCAGTGTCCAAGTTTTGGTTGTGTGGACTTTCAATGGAGGGACAGAAATCTTTCCGGTTTCATTAAAATATCTTCACTTGTGTTTTGAAGATGAACGAAAGTCTAATGGGTTCGGAATGACACGAGTGAGTAAATTATGACGATTTTCATTTTTGGGAGAACTATGCCTTTAATGTGACATTTCCCTTTGAACAAGGAAAAGAGTTTGTGAATTAATTGGATCAAGAAAAGTGGGTGTTTAATACAAAGTGTGTTACAGGAGGAAACGTGTTAGAAAAAAATTATGGAGTAGGTGACGTCAGCGAAATGGGAATTCAAGTCAATTCAGAGCAAATGAGCAGGTTTTAAAATTTTGATGAAAGATTTCAAAATCAAACCTTTTTTCTTTTGGAATAGACCGTTGGACGTCATATTGAATTTAACACGGATGAAAACGAGGCTGTGAAGGACAGACTAACAGTCTTTACAAAAGCACGCACTGTATAAATATTCAGATCACATAACTTTTAAAACGGTTTCATGGAGTTTTTGTCTACTGAAAGTTTTTTTTTCCCATCCCTCACAGCCTTGTTTTCATTCAATGATAAAATATGGCGCTACCCTGACGAAGGTCTATATCATTCACTGATGAATCATGCACAAGATGAGGGGCGTGTATTAAGAATATAAATGTGTTTTCATGTTGACTTTAATAGAGTGTTAGAGGCAGAGCTGTGTGGTCTAACCTCCGGGTCGTCTGCTCATCCATAACTAGAGAGATGTAGCCCTCGATCAGGGAGAAGGAGAAGAAACGGATGTGTCCAGAATCCTCGCTCTGCCCCCCGGTCTCTTTTGCTCTGTAATAAAGCACAGCAGGGATTCTTGCCATTACACAAGCTTCATTAGAGCTCAGCTGACACTTTTGCAAGGAATGGAAAAAATGGGAGGAGTATGATAAAGGCCACTCTGATCTTATCTTTCCCTCTAAGGGTTGGCCTGATGCCACTGTCTGAGCAGTAAACAAGTTCAGCCACTGTAAGGAAGGGCAACATTGGAAACAAGATGAGCAGTGTGTATTTGTACTGTCTTTTCTCCCGTCGTCACGTAATGCACCGCCTACAGCGACCTGTGCGTGTTATCATCATTCTCTAATAGATCTGGCAGATGGCTCTCGGTTACGGCCATATGTGAGCCAGGAGGAGAGATGGAGCTCTTACCCGCCCGAGTAGAACATGACGTCCATGAGCAGCGTGGCCACCGAGGGCAGCGTGTCGGGGTCAAGGCTGGTAACGCAGAACATGTTACTGGGGCTGGAGAGTGGGTGAATGATTGGCCGAGGGACTGAGGAAAGGAAGAAGAAGAGAGTCGTTTATTTTACGATTATGTACTGTAAACATTCAGGCATTAACAATGCAGATCCAGGATGTTTCATGAAGGGATGTATCTGTAAACCTGACAAGTTGTTTAACCCAACAAGTCTTTTGCACTTTCGACTGACAAATTTAACGTCTTTAATGCGGTGTCAATTTTTTACAAATATTTTATATTATTCTATTACACTAATTAACATAATATGTTCATTCTTAAAATACGATGCTCAAAATAATGCCCTTTAAATTACTGCATAAACAATTTCAATATAGGCTGCATGACTTATAACAGCAGCCTGAAACATTTGGTTATATAGCTATTTGGCAACCAGTTAATATCACTTCCAGCCTAGGTGACACCAGTCACCAGGAAAGTCATTTCAGATGCAACTTATTACATTTTAATGGAAGTTTACAAAAACAACAAGTTCTTTCTTTTACAATTACGTGCACCAAAGAATTGTGCACAATAAGATCAGGAACATATGTTCAGTTGGTCAAACATGACAGCCACAGGCAGAAGCTGATGCCTAACCAGTACCACACCACAAACACTTTCAGCAGGTGTTTCTCTATTGACTTATTCATCACATTCAGCCTGTGCATCATGGTAGTAAAATACGGTCTAAAGGAACAGTTCACCCAAAAAGAAAGAAGAGTATTTTCTAGGAAGAAGATATTGTGAAGAAAGTTGGTAAACTAAACAGTTTTGGTGACCACTGAATTCCACCACATGGACACAACAACAGACATTTCAAAAATACATTCATATCTCTTGTTTTATAGAAAAAAAGTATTTTTTAAATGACGAGGGTGAGTAAATGATAACAGGAGTTTAATTTTTGGGTATCTTTAAATGCCTCTATTATGCTATTTTAAAGGATCCTAATTTTGTTTCTTTCAGTCTCCTACAATAGATTCACATGCATCCAAGATTAAGATCAAAAACACTAACTTTCTCATAATTCATACATTGCAGCATCGCCTCTTTTCTCACAGCGTCTCAAACGGTTCGATCATGGATTCGGTCTCTCTAAACCCCTCCTTTCCGAGAGCCTACTCTGCTCTGATTGGTCAGATGGCCCAGTCTGTTGTGATTGGTCTAGCGCTTATTACAGCGTGTCGGAAACAAAACTACCATCTTAATATCAACTCTGCAGGCTTCCCCATCACTCGTACACACAGTAATATGAACAGTAACGATGGAGTCAGTGTTATCTTATCAATTTGAGCCCAAGCTCTCATCTTTTGGAAGTGCAAGCAAAATGGATCTGCTTTCGCAGCGCAGAAAACAGCGTCTTCTCGACATGTCGACAAACAAATCAAACTCTTCCAGTCTCAGCTACAACAACAGTGTTTGAGGGTTAAAGTAGACGTCATTTGCGGGCAGCCAATAAAGACCATAGGCTTTCATTATGCAAATTTGTTACAAACCTACAGTTCGAGCAGGGACATAAAACATGGAATTACTGACGACTCATTTCAGGCAGTTCAGAAATCACTTCTTTCATTTGGTTGCGCACTTTGAAACTTTTCAGACCTTTTACATTCACAAACAGCTTCATTACACGCTATATGAACGGTTATATCAGAAAAAGCATAATAGGGGCACTTATAAATCTAGGAAGCATCACTTGGTACTTTAAGACGCCTTGTGTCGACATATACACAGACTAATGACTGATGGTTACCTAGTTTAGGCTTGACAAAACCATTGGTGACCCCAGTACTGTTGGCAGCAACAGTTTCTCCGTTGACAACCCTCAGCAGAGTGAATTCTGAAGACAGCGTGTGCATGACCATGGGCAGATCCCTCTCTCGAACCTATGGACAGAATCATACACCAGTATTTAGTTTTTATTTAATAAACATACTATAAGTGAGGTTCCAGGTTAAATGAGCTCAGGTGTTCAAGGAGGGAAATAAATAATCGTAAACCATTACAAACATGTTTCCAGACAGTGCCAAACCCTGTTAGATAATACTCATGATGTACTGTGATATCTAAAATAGAGATGACAAATACCAAGCAAGTTATCTGGAAGCGCTATATCCTTCTACAGTAGGGAACTGAACAGAGTACAAGCACAAACCTAATCAAACTTATTTGTGTTTCCATTTGGCAGAGACTTTCAGAGGTTTCAATTAATGAAAACAGCATGAAAGTTCAATACACAAACATGCACAAGTAGAAATCCTTACACTAGACTCGGCTTCTTTCATTTCCCTCAGTAACCAAAACCAGCTGACTCAAACACATCACAAATGAACATTCATTTGCATTTCAAACACCACTACCAAAACCAGAATACATTACGGTGAAAACAATACATAAGGATGTCTTAAGCAACCAATTTAGCTGAACTTCAGAGTGTTCCAGTGAGGTCCTGATGGGTGCACTAAATGAGCAGCGCATTGCTTTTCAAGGGTAATTATCTATGGATATACGGTTTCCTTGGACTATTTTACAAGCTTGTAAAAGCTCTAACTGTTATTACCTCATTAGAAAACTAAATATAGTCAAAAAAGAGCAAACATTTTACACAGCTACAACAACAGTAGGACAGGGCAAAAATATACACAATTTTAAATTTTGCTTGCAATATCACAAATGTTGTAATTATCGTGGCTTTAACCTTTTAATTTGCCTATTAGGTTTATGTTGTAATGGCATCTCGGATTTAAAGTTCAGACTCAAAAATAGTGTTAGATTTGGTAAGTTTAATTTATTTCTGTGAAACAGTTCAAACCACCTGTTTGTAGTGAATTGATTCAAAACTCTGATTCGACAATTAGTTTGCATCATCACTCATCTGTTAAATCAGTTACATTTTTACACGTTTTAGTAAAAATATGGGCATAATGATAAAAAATCATTTCTGGTGTTCATTTCGTTAACAACATGCGAGAGACAGAACGACAAATTTCATTAAAAAGATGTTCTGAAGATGAACGAATGTCTTATGGGTTTGACGGTGAATGATTAATGACAGAATTATCATTTTTGGTTGAACTAACCATTTTAAAAATCATCCAGAGGCTGAAATATAATATCTGGTATATTTTAGGCCATTAAGGTCAGTCCTTCCCAGGGATGGAAATCTTAAATCCATCAACTCCTCAACATTCGCTTTCATTATTTTTTAGTTATCCAAACAAAGGAGACATCGGTGTGCTCAAGGCCTGATAGGCCAGATACACAAGGGGATTTCTGAAATGCTCTTAAAGTTTTCAGTAAGCAGGCCAAGAGTTGAGGATGAGAAGGAAATGTCCTCTCCAGTGGCCCAGCACAGGAGGCAGGTCATCTCCTCTCTTTCTATAAAGCTCTGTGATTATTCCTCTGGCTTGGAGCATCTGGTGTGGAACGTGAACTTTCCGGTAAATTCCAGCAAGCGGCTGCTGATCCACAGGCTTTATCCTCTTTACATAACAACCCCCAGATTACCACCGCTCCCACATTTCTTGTTATTTTCATAAACAGGCTCTGGTGACTGTGCCACCACTGATAGACTGGACATGTGTTCACAAACACACACACACACACACACACACACACAGTGGAAATGTGCTGAGATGACAGCAGCTGGCTGTGGTCATGGTTTAACGAAAAGAGAAGTGATGACTAGCTTAGTGTTTACTGTATGTGCAGTTCATGTAAAAAGTTTGCTCATCCAAAAGCAATGATCAGTCATAATGCCATTACATGCCATGTCCTTATATAAAACTACAAGCAACAGTTTCAACTTGTACAATGAAATGGGTAAGCTGTAAATCTGTGTTTTAACAGCAGATAAGATGACATATTCAGACTACAGATCACAGGGCTTCTTTTTATATAATCTGTCGCAATAGACTGGCCCATGTTTGTCATGTATATACTGCAGTTCTTTTTCTTATGATAAATCATTAATGTTTTTATCCTTATACTGGTTTTTAGTTCTGTATCATCTCCTTAATAAGGTTAGTCTAAGTGTAAACCCAGAATAAATCGGAGATGACTCCATGATGTGCTATAATCACTCTCACATTAGCTATGTTTCTGTCCACCAATTGTTATGTCACATTAAAAAATGCTTAGTGAAAACGCCAAAATGTGCATAAATTCTAAAATGCGCATACAAAACATATGCGCTCAATTGAGGGGGATATGTTTTTATCTGATGAGGACGTGCATAAACTATGATGGAAACACAATTACTGAATAAATCCCTCGACGTGCAACAAAAAAACTGTGGATGTGTTTGGAAAACTGGACTAACCAACGGATCGGTTTCAATGCACAGCATCTCAAATGTTTTAGTTATTTTCGTTTAAGTTTGTCATCAGTGATTTTGGTATAATGACCTTCCAGAAATGTCTCGCATGATTGTGTTCCTAAACACCAGACGTCCGAACGCAAGATAACATGACAGCATTTAGTGCAGTTTGTCTTCATGCTCGGAGGCGCAAGTAGGACACAAAGAGCCACAGTGGCTTCCCCCGATTCCAGAAACTTTAATTGTCATTACAGATTTTCCAGGAAATTACGATTTTGTTCTTTTGAACAAATGGGATGGAAACGGTGCTTTATTCGCAAATGTTTTACGCAATATTCCAATTTTTCGCACAAGTTAAATTTGCAACATTCGATGGAAACATAGCTACTGAAATGCTTAATCTTTCTCATACACTACAGTTCAAAAGTTTGGGGGCTGCAAGTTTTTCTTTTACATTTAAGTCTCTTTTTTTTAGTTTAACTTAATTTATTTGAACAAAAATACAGTAAAAATTATGCAATATAAGGAAATATTATCACAGTTTAAAATAACTGTTTTCTATTTCAATATATTGTTAAAAGTAATTTATTCCTGTGATGAAAAGCTGAATTTTCAGTATAATTACTCCAGTCTTCAAAAGTTTGGAGACACTTTCATACTGAATGTTTGTTTCTCTTAATTTTCATGTAAAGAATGTTGCTACAATGCATGAAATTATTTCTGTGTAGACAAATATAAATTATGCTTGCGGATAAATTTCCTTTTTCTCATGTGCATATCACTTTTAAAAATATCTAAAGTATTATTTATTTGTACGTCAAATATTTTGATGAGGAAAATTACTGAAAAAATGTATTTGGTGGAAATGCACACTACATAATTTCAGCATTTAATAATTAAGAGTTAATATCTTGCTCACTATAGCCTAAGCATCTATGACACTCACCAATATAAAATCAGTCTGGTACGTTGAGAGCATAAACACAGAGATGTTATGGTCTGCCAATGGAGCGATGACTGATTTTGCGATCTTAGTTACTCCTATTGGCTGAGAGCTGGTGGCGCTCCCGCCCCCGGACACCACATTAAGAGCCAACCACGTCGCATCGGCCACACTGAGATACTCAGACTCCGGCAGCTCTGAAACAGACAAAAACAGAAAAACAAGTGTGAAAAAAAAAAAAAAAAAAAAAGTGGCACATGAGCAATGTTGTGACATTCTGAATATACTAACGCTCTTTGCTCGATCTATCTAAAGGTACTATATGAGGAATGAAGTCTTTCAAGACCCTATGAAATCATGACAGCTTTCTTTCCTGTGTTGATGTATTTGCTATTGAAACAGGAAGTTGGGGTGGGGCATATCGAAAAGTGTGTCCCTTTTATAAAACAACAAATAGGCTTCAGTTACATCACTGCCCTTGACATGATTTGCTAGTTGAAAATCTGTTAGACGTGGTTTTAGTGAGAGGGACTTTCTGATTGTACAGCAGAATGTAGTGCAACAGGAGTTATCAATATTTTTATTGAGTTTTACTGTAATGTAACTTGTAATGCAGGCGCATGCTTTTTCTGTGAAGCTGCTTTAAAACGGTATGTATTGTGAAAAGTGTGGGGGTGTTGATGGACTCGATCTACTCCATCTGTGTTTTGATCATCGTTCTGAATCCCATCCGGACGTATGGTGCGTTCACGTGCTATGGAAAATATGATATTTTCCACTTGTGAACTGGTATTTACCAGTGTGTTGTGTTCAAGTGCTTTTGTTGTCGTAATGTGGTAAAAAGATGGAGATCCAGACCTGTTATTTTGCTAAAACTATTTTAGATTGCTTAAGTCATCTGCTACAGCAAGAAAATGATTTATCAAAACTCAAACGGTAAATAATATGCTGTATATTTTCTAGATCATGAATAGTACATATTTTTACCATTCACGACTCTCGCGTTGCTCTCCGCCATTTCAAAAAGGTCAAAGGTTATCTCATCTCGGCAATTCGTGCATCAAAATATTCTACGAGTTGCCCAGTGGAAAATACCACATGAGGGCGGGGGTGTTCATGTGCATTTTCCACGTTGGCTTTTGGTATTTACCATAATTACCATAGCACGTGAACGCACCAGTAGTCTTAGATTTTCTCAGCTTTTTGTTCAAAATAATGTAGCTTTTTTTTTTTTAAATGAAACTTACCCACATTCAAGTGTTGATAAAAAAAAAGAACGCTGTTTAAAAGCAGACGATCTGTTCTTTCTTTTGACATATTACATGTTCAGATAATAAAACAAAATGTTCTGGGGGCCATGAATTTTTTTTTAGTAAATTTTGAAGTAAAATTTTGTTGACTCACAGCTAACAAACACTGACTAATAGCCAGAAAGCTTAACTGATTTCCTTAAATTGATAGCACGTGAAATACGGGGGAAGATCCAGATCCAACAAGCTCAAATTTCAGGGGATTTTTAAATACCTGTACCTGTTTCGCAACACAGAGCTTCTGGTATTCATGGCAACAAATGGGCTTCACCAGTGTGTAATGACATGGATTCACTCAATCAACCACAAAACCAAAGCCACTGACATCTTAACCCCTAGTAACCCATAATGGAAATGTGTGTGTTGGGTTGGGGGGGTATGGCTGATGGAGCAATATGTGGTCAAACATTGGCAGGGAGTCGAGCTACAAGGAATTATAGAGAATCTGTGATACTTTACATGACTTAATCTTGCCTCGCTGCACTAAACCCAGTGCACTCTTAGTAAAAGAGTAACCACAACACCTACCTTTAAAGCCATCTTCATCCACGATGATGGTGTAATCCTCCGGAGTTTCAGTTAGACTAAAGAACTTACATCTGTGGAGAAGCAAAGAGAGAAAGAGATGGAAATTATGAGCGAAGAAGGAGCAGAGTTAATAACATATTCCTGAAAGACTTTTATGAACATCATTGTAGTCCAACAGCCTCACATAGATCACTTTACAAGTCTATTGCCCAGGCTTTGGGATTTGAGGGATTAAACTTTGTCATTGAATGGACATGATTCATGAACGATAGAAGCTTTTTTAAGGAGAGGTGACTTTTGAAAGCTACGTTTTAATCAAACAAAAGAATGAGACAAGCAACGCTCATATCGAAGGACCAGACCATCATAGTGACTTTGGTAGCAAACATTTAACCAAGAACAGCTTAAAACCACACAAAAACCAATGTATTCATGTTGGATTCATCAAACCTTAATAAAACTTTCATGAAAATGTTAAATTGAATATTAAAGAGTAATATGTTTTAACATGTGACCGTAAACATCTTAATTGGTTTCAAAAATGTTTTTAAAGGGAAAAAGTAATTTTTTGCAAATGTAATGAATAATTAACTGACAAAAGTAACAAATAGCCTATTGCCCAGGCTAAAAAGTTTGAAACTTTGGCAGACTGTTTTTAATGGACATAAATAGCTATGTTTCCATCCAACTATTTTTATGTGCATTTTGGGATATCGCATCAAAAACTGCTGGATGGAAACGCCAAGACGTGCATAAATTATAAAAATGCACATAAAAAAACGTATGCGCTCATTTACTAAGATGGAAACACACTGACCAAATAAATTCCTTGATGCGCATAAAAAATAAATCATGTGACTTTGCGATGGGATGTCACGGCATAATTGTATAATTCAGTATAATTACCTCCCAGAACTGTTTGGCACGCATGCGTTCCCAACAGATGATAACATTCATTTCATTTTGTCTGCGCGCTCTATGACACAAGTGATTCATTAAGTTATTTTGTAGAACAGAAGTAAAAATTAGACACTCATATCCATGTACCAGTGGCTGGATGAATGAACTGAATAGACTAGTCGTAAAAGTTAATCTAAATTTTTTCTCTAAGACTATTCCTAACTTTTAAGTTACATAAAAAGGTCTAATTTGAATTAAGGCACAATCGCTTTATATGATGAACAGATTTAATTTAAGCTTTTATTCACATTTAAACATTGATCAGCAAGCAAACAGAAGCTCAAATGAACCTCATTGGTTCTCGCAGAAGCTCAAACGTGCTGCGTAACACGAGAATGAACCTTATTGGTTCTCGCACGTCAAGCGAACATGCTTGAGCTTTCGTTTACTACAACTGATGTGTGAGTTGATGAATGTTTATATGTGAATAAAAGCCTAAATTCAATCTTTTCATATAAAGTGATTGTCTCTTCAGAAAATTTGGACTAAACTGCTCAATTCATATAGCCTGGATGCCAGCCCGAACCCGGCCTACAACATTTTTTGGTCGGGAAGTTTGGTCTGGACTCGATCCATTGAGTAGTAATTATGATCGGTTCAGAAATCGTCGGGCCAATCAAATTGCCAGGGCGGGCTTTATACGATGATGGACAGATGATCTGCAGTTACGTAATAATCACGTTATCAACGAGCGCTTGGGTTGAACTGGTTTCCCTCAAAGATGACTGCAGCTGGAGAACTGAGATGTAGAGATTCCGCTGTCGCGTCTGTTGTATAAGAAATCGACAGTGCGTTCATTTTAAAAGACGAACCATGAACTGCAATCAAGGCATTTGTCGATCGGAAAGATGCGTTTGCCGTCCTTCCTACGGGATTCGGCAAAAGTTTAATTTATCAGCTGGCTCCGATGGTCGCTAAGAAGATGGGACGCAATGAAAACCCTGTGGTCGTTGTGGTTTCTCCTTTGGTCGCACTCATGGAGGACCAAGTAAAAGAAGCAACACTCGTTATTTTACTACTTCCAGGGTGTGTTCTGTTGACAACTATGCGTAGCTCAACATACGTCACTTACTGCGTTGCTCTGATTGGTTGTAGGTCTATCCAATTGAGTGCAGAGGTTTTTTTTCCTGGTTCGGTTAAGACACGCCTCATAATCAAAGCCCTATGGAGCAGTATCAGACTCACATTCTGACTAAAATATGAGTATGACGAAGTCAGGCTACAATTCATATGGATTATGATTCTGAACTTTTTGAAGTGTCATTTTTGAACTAATTGAAGAGCTTTTGTGACTCATGTTTACAAAGTGTATGGGCAAGTGGGTTTTGGTGACTGTAGTTGTTGGCTGCACCATATTGTGTTCTGGTGTTCTGTTTTAATATAGAACTTGGTCTTTTTCAGTTATAATAAATACAGGTTGTTATTGTTTTGGTGAATGTCTGTTTCTCAGATCATAAAAAAAGTTTGCCACCTTATGAAAATGCAATGCCTCCGCCATTCTATGTTCTGGCGAAGGCCCTGCTCACACAGTATATATCTGAGCTGCATGTGCATATGCAAGCATAAGCGTAATACATTGCTGCACAAATGCCATGTAACCGCAGCTGGCTCGTAAAGCTGCTTGTACACCCCAAACGGCTCCAGATACCAGGTATGAGTAGTCCTTATTTATGAGCCTGTCCACCCACATACTGTATCATTTTGCCTCTAGGGGGAAGGAAGGCAACGTGTTGACTGGAAAGCAGCATCTTATCTGATACTGCTAAAGTGGTGCTGGGTGACTTTTTTTTCAAGGTTTTTGCAAGCTGTTGTATATTTCTGGTGCTGTGTCACTTAACTGAATCATTTAAAAACCCTTTTAGCCTAGAGGTGAAATGACACAGCACATAGACGTAGGCTACAGAAAGGTACTGGAGTGTGGATGTCTTCGTATATGGTATTAATGTAGTATTGCTTGAATTGTTTTATTATTTGAAGCACTAATAGGAAATGCTCTGCTGGGTCATAACCAGTGTTGGTCAAAGTTACTTTTAAAAGTAATGCTTTACAACCATGGTTCTCAACCTTTTTTGGGCCACCTTATAATAATAATAATGTGTATTATTCACGTCCTTATTTTCTTCTTATCATTATTATTATTAAATCCGTAACTTTTTGTATTTAATGTACAACATTTATGTAATGAGCGAGTAGATCATGAATCCATTTTCCAAACCGTGTTTTTGTCTTATCCTGAATCACTAAGGTACACCTATAATAAGTGTTTATATTGGGACCTGTTTAATCCCACAGGTCACAATTGTGACCGCATCTTTTTTCTTATTTCTGGAAGCTCTAAAAATGTTGCTATTGACTTTGAGCAAGAAATTAAACTTTTAAATGATAAAATAGATAGTCTTGATTAAAATCTATTAATGTCATGTGACTAGTGTGAAAGGTCACATGACCAGATCAGTTTACTTCCTGCTTGCACATCTAGAAGAAGACGTCTTCCTCAGACTACTACAAAAAGTAGTATGTAAAACATCTTATTTAACAGATAGAACTATCATATTTTGTACATATATTCTTTAAAGGGTCTACTACTGATATATTTTGAGAATTATACTCCTCCTGCATATATATTTTGCTCGTAAGACGTGTAAATTTGTTAACGGTCACAAATGTGACCGGTAGTATAACACAGTGCTTCAATTGAAAACACAGGTATTGGCTGTTAATCCTACACTGAACATATGCCACACCTGTGAGGGGGATGGATTATCTCGGCAAAGGAGAAGTGCTCACTAACACAGATTTAGACAGATTTGTGAACAATATTTAAGAGAAATAGGCCTTTTGTGCACATAGAAAAAGTCTTAGATCTTTGAGTTCAGCTCATGAAAAATGGGGGCAAAAACAAAAGTGTTGCATTTATTATTTTGTTCAGTGTAGTTATCAGTATCCCAGAAACGTTCAATGTGTTGGACCTTCTAGACGTACGTGACCTTCAACTTTCCATTCCTCCGCTGCGTGATTCTAGTCAACGCTGGATTGTTGTCTGCGCGAAACAAATTTTTGAGCGCGTGAATGCTGATTATAGTCGGTGCTTGAGCGCTCGTCTATGACTCGAAAAATAATAGTCGTAGTAAAAAAAATAAAAAATAAAAAACATACATACATAGCTTACATGTCGCATTAAACTGGCAGAATTTAGAATCTTGTAGGCAATTATTTTGCAAGTATTACATGTTTAATCTTGCCTTGCCTGGATCTATGGTGTAAACTCGTGAACGCCCCCCATTCAAAAATCTTCCTTCCAACGCCCCCCGTTGTTCTCTGAACGCCCCCGTTCTTTTTTTTTTTTTTTTCAATACTTTTTATGGAAAGTAATGTGTTGCATTACTTTCTCTCACCTGGTCTGGGCTTGCATGTTTGTTTATTTGTTAATAACAAAAAAGGTTTTGGCAAATGTAAATGCCCTTTCACACCAAAAGTGAAATGAATAAGCCTCAATCTGAATTCAGAGGGCAAAGCTCAAACAAACCTTTCAGCTGTGCTGCCATTTTGCAGAAGAAAATAGTTCAATTACTTCAGCAATACAAAACAAAAAATGAAACACAAATGTGATGTTTATCTGAAGTCATTTTTGCATATTAGTATGGTTGAATTAGATCATCGAAGGTCAGCGCAAAGAAATTGGTTAATAAAGTGAGATTAAATACATAAAGTACATTTGTATTATTTAACATATTTAATTATTGCAGGTTTGCAAACTATTCTGAGTTTGCATTTAACTGTTTTTATTCATTTTTAAGGAATACTGAATTGTTTTTGTGCAAGTGAGACGAGTAAAATGTATGATTACATTTAGTCTAGAACTACAATTACCATCATGTTCACACAGCGCACACAACGCCTGGGGACAGGAGAGGTGTCAGTCATTAAATGGGAAAACTTTTTACTTATTTGAAGAAGTAACTGAAAATGTGTTACTTTACTCATTACTTGAAAAAAGTCATCTAGCCTACTACTTGTAATGCGTTACCCCCAACACCGGTCATAAGCGAATTTGTTCAGATGCCCCTTCATTTACAAATTTCATTTTGGTTAAGTTATTTTTCCATATGAAAATCCAACTTTCGGCACCATTAGGAATTCAATGAGCTATGAATTTGAGTCACAGAGTGAAGAGAGAGATACAGTGATGGATTAGAGACTGCTTTTATTGCTCATCTCAGGACTCTCAAATGAAAGCAATGATCATGACAGGTTCTTATGCCCTTAAATCAGAGGAACAAAACAAATTTTCAACAGGCTATGACTCACTCGCTCAGAGCCTGCTCAGAAATCTGCTCCAAACAAACCGTTCCTGAGGTCTTCAAAGACACACACATACCGGATCTGTTTTTAAATGCAAGACCAAATACTTATTGATTCCAACGTTTTCTCTTAAAATTTGCCTCTTCCTTTTTTATTTCCTAACTCTATTTTTAGGGGAGAAATTCTGAAATTACAAGTTGGCTGTTCCTGTTTATCAGGTAACGTTGCTGGAAATGCTGACCGAAGAACACAGCAGAAGACCAAATATTTCGACATTACATACTTTGTTACAGACAACACAATATGCACATTTGGTTCACGCCAAAACGAAAATTCATTCCCATTCCAAACCTAGAATGCACGTTTCCATTCGACTGAGGTACTTTTCCATTGTTTTTTAATGTAAACACGATAGACTGATGTCTTTAACCGTCGCTCTTGTGTCTCGCATCTTTTGCATTGTCTCGTGAATGAAACAGCATTTTAAAAACGCGCCGCTTAAGTGCTTTTTTTACAACAGTAAAAACACGTTCTGTGTGAACTGGCCCCGAGACTTTCTTTTTGAGAAGTAGCAATTGTTTTTGTTCAATTAATATGACCTTTTTTTTCAAAATCTTTTTTTTTTTGGCGGCGGCGGCGTGAACATGAACTATATATTTCTGAAAAATGTAGGCATGGACTTGATTTTATCCATTGAATTGTGATATTTTATAAACATAGGAGAGTCAACTAGCCTACACTGAATTCAACAGAACCAACCTTTGAAACATTGAAAAACTGCTGAAAACCATTGTCTTTTTTCCCCTTTTTTTTTTTAATGGTGACACTGCATTTGGTTGTTTCATTGTTTATTCCTGAGTTAAAAAAACTGCTTCCTCTGTCTATATCTTGCTGTACAAACAGTGATCCAGCACAACCCGAGGGCTGGAAACAATGTTTCAAACTGTAAGCAACTATTTCCAGAGCTCCCCTCATGTTGTGCGCATTCTGCACGACTCTGAGAAACTTCACAAACAGCTACTAAATAAGATGATTCAAGCTGTGCCTCTGCGACAGAAAAACAAGTGTAAAGCATTAAGATGTGTGCCAAGTCAGAATCAATTTAAAGATTCAAAATAAGAAAAATGGCCATATCCAAAACGCTACTTCTACATGAAATTGCATTTGGATCCAAAAAAAGCTCTTACAACGGATTTCATGGTCTGATGGACAAAACATACAGCGCTGAATACAAAAGAAAACCCTGGAGAAACGTTGTTTAAAGCCAGATGCAAACCACAAGGAGTAATGTGCCACTGCAAACAGAACCTTAATGTTAAAAACAGCCCATCTGCAAAGCTTTTTACTGTGATAAACCTTCAATTCGCAAATTAATAACCCTGCATTTGTAGGCAGACCTTGAATGTTTTTGCTGAGACATTACTTTCAGTATTTTTCCTTTGGATCACAGGTGATGTCATCATTATTGTTCCAGGCTCTCTAGAGTCATGACAAAACATCTTTGAGCTCCAAAGAAAAGTTTTCTACTCGAAAATGTCAAACTACTAGCCGTCAACTTATGTTTTTTTATATTGTCAATACCAATATAGCAAGCTTACTTGTCTGACTTTTTCAAAACAAGTATGCCAAACATGACAGCCATTAAAGGGATAGTTCACCCAAAAATGTAGGATTTTATGAACATTCATCAACTCAAACATCAGCTATGGTAAACGAAGGCTCAAGCATGTTCGCTTGAAGTGTGAGAACCAATGAGGTTCATTCTCGTGTTACGCAGCACGTTTGAGCTTCAGCAAGAACCAATGAGGTTTGCTCTCATGTGTCAAGCAGGTTCGGTTGAGCTTCTGTTTATGTTTGCTGATCAATGTTTAAATGTGAATAAAAGTTCACATTTTAAATATGTGATTCCTAAATTAAATATGTTCATCACATAAAGCCATCGAGTCTCTCTAGGAAAATTCAGACTAAACCGCTCAATTCATATGGATTAGTATTACGATCTTTTTGAAGCGTCAAAGTGGTAGTTGCGTAGCTGTCAATGGAGGGACAGAAAGCTCTCTGAGTTCATCAAAAAGATCTTCATTTATGTTCCGAAGATGAAGGAAAGTCTAGAGAGTTTGGAACGACATGAGGGTGAGTAATTAATGACAGAATTTAAATTTTTGGGTGAACTATCCCTTTAAGAACCAATAAAGCATCCACGCTGATCATGAAAAGCCCTGGAAAATGAGATTTCCGAAAGCTAGAGCAAATAAACATGCAAAATAAAAGAGGCCTGAGGGGAATTAGGCCCCTGATCTAAGCCACTGACACTTTTCAAAAACAAGACAGTAACTCCGAGACATGAAAACAACCTACTTTGTCTTACGAACCACTTTAACTCTATAGCCAAAGGCCTGAGTTTGTGTCCACAGCTCTAAATGAGCACAGGATGTTTCTCGCTGAGGTTCAGACTCCGGAGCCGGACTGGAGATGTGCTCACACACTCTGCTAACGCAAACACAGCAAGGGCCCATTGAGACTCTATGAATAGATGGTCTTTCACAAAGCACCTCATCATCTGAGAGGGCATCAGGATGAGATACAAGGAAACTGCAGAACGTTACCAGGCAGCAGGAATGATTGTGAATTACTAAACACAAAATGTGGTAAAAAAAAAAACACAGTAGCAAAGCAATGCACCAAATTCATGCAAATCATGTTCAGGCCACAACTTTTCCCTCCTCTTCCAGTTGTTTACAGGTTTCAACCAGCGGCACTGAGTTAGTTCAGGCGGATGTATAGATCAAAACAGGTCAGTATTTGATTAAAGTAGTGAAAGCACAAGCTTCCCATCAAGTCATTAGGATCCCCCCTTCAGCTGTATCAAGTGATGCTGCTGAATACGTGATCGTGCATTGAGCATCACAGACGGGGAGATTTAAAGCCACATCCCCCTCCGTATATTTATACCGCTGCCCAAGAAGAAAAACAACCCTGATCACGTACACACACCCCTCTTCCGTCGAATGAACTTAAGCAACAGCACAGACAATCATACCTGCTTAACAAAACACCAATGATCGCTTACTTGATGATGTCACGCGCTTCTTAAATGCAGAAAATATACATTTGGATTTAAACCGTAAAGTGCTGGAACTGCATCTGGCTAAGAGGTGCGTAGCGTTAAGCTAATGTAATTCCGCGTCAGAATCTTCAAGAAAGATATTTAACGGACAGTGAACACAGGTTTAACACAACGCAAACTTGATTCGTGAAGCTACTTACCTTGTTTTAGATGGCAGAAAAGCTAGTTTGATTAATCCGTGAGTGCAAATCTGGATTCCCTCTTTCGCTATACTTGCTACTTTTAAACTGTGCTCTAAAATGTGCAGCTCCATCTTTTGCGTCTTCTCATTTGTGGTACATCTAAAAATATATATATATATAACTGCCTATTGCGTTTTGATAAAAATAAATAAATAAATAAGTAGAGCTTATGGACAGGGCTTTAAAACCTTCAAACGGAGCGGAAAGGAGGGGAGAGAAAAGGAAAAGTTATCTGCCGAGGAAAAGAGAGAAAGAGAGTAAAGCGGGGTGAAATAAAAGAAAGCACAACGAGGTAAACGGGAAGGGAGAAAAAAAGAGGACTGTCGGCCCCCGTGTTTCCACTCCGACAAGGATTGGAATGGGCCAGCAGCTGGTAACAGTGAAACAAACAACCTGTCAGTCAAAAAAGTGGGCGGGACGAATTATACAGGAAGTGCATGTTGGGATATGTAGTTCGGTGCTACGAAGTTCATCGATGCACATTTTCGTTTTGAAATGTAGTCATAAAATACCAAGTCATTTGTTTTCTTTTTTTGTTTTAATAGAAAAACAATCATTTAAGTTTTTCAAAATCAAAATATTTGGCCATAGTAATGTCTTTATTTAACTGAAATGACAAGATGTAGGCCTACTAGCTATGTTAGGGGCAGGGCCACAGCTCACATTTATGGGGCCCAGCAGGACAACATTTTTATTGATGGGCACTTTCTCCATCAAGCCCAATGAGGTCATACTACAGAGGACCTTATACCCCCTTCATCACAGGGCTTGGGACAATGTTTGTTTGATTTACATTTTGAAAATCTTACCCACCATGAAGAAAATGTACTTTTAGTGAGGTAAAAAAAAAAGTTTAAAGCACTGCCTAAAATTGGTCCAGTTTCCTAAATTAAGGGAACGAGCCAATTTAACCAGTCACATTCTCCTAAACCTTAGTAAACCTTTCTTGAGCTTAAACAAAATCCTGCAAATCATTGTATAAAAGATGTGATGTAGGCTTTTCAATCAATATCAAACTGTTCTGCCTTCATCTATACGGAAAAAAAAGACAATAGGTGGAACTTTGGTTCCTTTTCAAGGTTAAAGATTAGATGTGGAATGGAACTGACAGACATTTATGTAGCCAATTGAAGTATTTTTCCCCCCAGCTGGAGTTGTAAAACCTGAACAGGAAAAAATACATGACAATGACAAAGCACCAAGTAATTTGAAACAACCATTTCATATGCATGAAATAAACATACATAATTAGATCATGACACCCATTAATTTAGCAATTCCTGGCCAGAGTGCGTCATCTAATAATGAAGGCAGAAGTTTAATAATTCACAAGTGCTGACTAGTGGTAACCAGGGCCGGTGCTGCAGAGCGTCATAAAACAAGCATTCTTTGTGTGCAGCTGTGATAAGATCCCTGGGACACTCTGATCTCTCACAGGGACAGGCATTGTTCAGTTCAAAGGACAGAACTCCTCTTCAGATGCGGTTTCTTTCAGCATTACCACTCAAAACAGAGCTTACGGTAAGCTTCACTCACACAGGCGATGGATGGTTTTGTATTTAATATCAGGTATGTTTGCCCTTAAACGGAAAACCACGGTTTTAACTGACAGTCTTTCAAGGACCAACATGTTTTCCTGTTCCAGTTAAAGGTTATAAGACACTAAAAATACCAAATTCATATTTTAAATGGAGAATCTTTAGCTTTACAATCAAGACATTGTTTGGCCAGCAGTGCAAATGTTCACTTGTTGAAAAATTCTCTTCTGTAAACTTAAATAGATTGACCAATTGTTTAAAAACAAAAAAGTTGAAGTAACTTCACATCAGATTACATCTATATCTCAACAAGGATCAGTTTGACACCTTTATCAGTTAAAAGCAAAAGTTTGTATTTTGTTTCTTTAATAATCCACGAAAAGGCTTCATGAAACCTTAAGTGCAAGGGGAAATTAACTAGAGAGATTAAAACAAATAAAATGCTTAACTGCCATTGTTCAGGCCACGCAACAGTATAGACTGGTCACTCCTGACTAGACACCTTATGAAGAAATGCTCAGCTGAAAACTATGCTTTAAAACATTCCCCAAAGATCAGCAACAGAACATTCAAGCTCTCACAAATAAAGGCTTAGTTACACTCAAAGGCAGCTTGTCAAAGCAGAAGTGGAGCACTAAAAGCTGTGTTCTGCAGAGAGAATCTTTTAATCTGAACCTCATGACCCACATGAAGCCCTGAGAACCAACCTGCACAAGGCTTTCAGACTTAAAGGGTCATGACATGTATTTTTCTCTTTTTAATTTGAATGTTCTAAGGTTTACTAGTTAAAGTTTTGCACAAAAAAAAAAGAAACATATGCAGAAAAACCATTTTCTACTAAACTATTTTGGCCCGTCTGAAATGATATTTTTAAGGGGCGGCTCGTCAGTAAATGTCCAGTTATGAATGGCCAAGATCATTGATTAGGAAAATATCAACCCCCATTATTGCACGAGTTTAGAAATCCTCCATGTAAAACTTACAAAGCATTATGAAATGTTTACTTGCAATGTAGCCGTCAGATCCTGTACAGTTCGCTACTATATCTTGCAACAAACATTTTTTGAACTTCCACTGCCTCATTAAAGAACAATTTGCAGTCAAATGCTTCAAACAAACATAGAATTATACAATATCCAAACAAGTTAAATACTTTATAAGGACGACGTTTTAAGCTCGCAGGATGTTTTAATAGTACAAAAGGCCTGTTATGCGTCAAAAAGTAATCATTTAACGGCTAAATTACATGCCCATAGAAACTATTTGAAATATGTTTGGGATTTTACACCAGTCCAATTCTTCACCCTTTATCATCAAAAACGTTTAAGAAAAAAAAAAAAAAAACAAGCATACAACAGATTGATTTCGAACTTCATTTATTGAAAACTGCATTACCACAAAACTCCAAAGCAGAGGAAGGTTTAGTTTCCCACGCAGTATGATCTCATCAGCACCAACTGTTGTTAAAGACAAAAGGCAATTACATTCATAATCAAAGAGCTAATACAATATGCCACTGAGAAGGCTTGAAGTATATCAGGTGTTGCCCTAAAGACCACAGGCATTTTATTTAGCAAAAAATGCTGCAAAACATCTCATAGGGCACTGATGTGGGATCACGGCGTTGAGGATCGCCAGTGAGAAGTGGCTGACCCCCTTTGAAAGTGATCCAAAGACATGAAATGGCTCTCACCTTGCAAGTCTGGCTGGGAAACCCTTCACTCCAAACCCAAACCTGATATAGAAGAAACAATTAAACAAACCTGTACAACCTCGCATTTGGAGTTAAAGTGCATTTAAGGAAATGTTCCTAATAAATCTGAGAGTGACTCATTAGGATGGGTTTTAATTTTTGGTCACGTCCACAGCAAGTCAGGAACCACATATCCTAAAAGCCTTGGTAATATGACCAAATACATCATGTTCATGCAACTGGGAATGTTCAAGACCAAAAGACAGAAGCCTTACTTTTCATTTTACAGCACTGCGTGTAAGAACGACGCCCTGCCAGCATTTATTCTTCAATCTCACCATATGGGACCTGTGGGCACAACACAAACAAGACCGGATTATCAAGACACGCTGAGCTATTGAAACAATGTCACAAGGCTTCTAAAAAGGGCAAGTGGCAGTAGGCCGATATCCTCCTCGGAGAACATCTTGGATGAGTGTTGGGGTGGGGCATATGGGAGAATTGACTGCACACCACTGACACTCATTACACACTGCAACGCATGTTATGAAAAATGTAAAGTGTTTTTTTTCCCTTCTGTCTAGTACAAAGTAACCTTTTCTTAAGTGTCTGAAATGGTTCCATAAAGGATTCAGTCTCTCTAAAACCCTCCTTTCCGTGAACCTACTCTGATTGGTCAGACGGCAAAGTCTGTTCTGATTGGTCTAGAGCTTACAGCTCCGGAGGCTTCCTCAGCACTTGACAGTGAGCCGATGGTACTTCCTGTCAATTAACAGTAACGATGGTGTCCATTTTTCCATATCAATTCCAGCACGAGTCTTTTGCAGTGCATACAAAGTGGATTCGCAGCGCTAAAAAGGGTTCTCGACACAAACCAAACTCTTACAGTCTCCAGGTTTTCCATTTCCATTAAATGTCGATAAACGATTGCAAAATGACAGGGTTTCCATTAACCGATGTTTTATTTTTTCCTCTCGCAATAAGTCATTCCAAAAATCATGGCAATGGATGTTGGTAGGTTTATGTATAAAATCGCAGCTAACGCACAAGCCATTATTTTTAATTGAAGATGTAGGCGTGTAAGGCAAGGAAAGCCCCTTAAACTTGGGAGCAGCCACATGAGTAGTGTTGCTTTCGTCAACGAAAATTGACTAAATATCGTCGTCAACGAACCTTTATCACGTGACGAAAACGAGACGCAACGTAAATGCTGGTCATGTGACGATGACTACAATTAAATCTATAATGCAATATTGTTGACGAATAAAAACGACTAAATGTGGTTTACAAAATAAAAACTATGCTAAAATGTCTCTTCATTTTCGTTGACCAAAACGAGACGAAATGTATTTAACGTTATTTCGTCTCGTTTACTTACATTATTATTATTCAGCTTTTGTTTCCTGTGTCACTTCAGGGGCTGCATCAGATCGCACTGCGCAGACACAGGCGACTTCACGTCCTCAAGCCCCACTCGCGGCATTATTTAGAAGATGCAGATGCGCGAGTTACGGCTGTTTTACTAGACTAAAATGTCATCAGTTTAAAAAGAGTATGAACGTGACTAAAACTAATATGACAACTTGACACAAAGACTAGACTAAAACTAATATTAAAACAGGCCGCCAAAAACACTACACATGAGGCGTTTCTCCCTTCTATCTGTTTCGAGGTCTTGATAAATTGTGGCATTTCTTTGTTGTTTAGAAACCAGTATTCCCATAATTCTTGTTTTTTTTACGAGTTTAATAAAGAACTCTGCCTCTTCGGTCCAAACATTAAAGAATGACTTGCGTACGTCAGGTGACCTGTAAATGCAAAAAAACTGTTTCCATTGCAATTTTGCAAAATTTTCCTTTCAAATTGCCTGAAAAACAAACTCATGCGAGCGTAAATTTTTCCATATTGCAAAAAGTTGCTAAATTAACACGTTTCCATTGGGTGCATTTTCAATTCACAATTTGTTGGGTAATGGAAATGTAGCTAGTGCTCTGAGGGTCAAAGTAGACATTGTTCACGGGCAGCCAATTAAGACCATAGGCTGGCATTAATTTGTTACATCATTACGTAGGCATGTAACAGAATTTCGGATAACTAGTTTCAGCAGGTCAGAATCTATTCTCTTTATAGAACTTTTATAACCCAAGACAATAACTTTTTGCCTTGCACTTTGATCGTTAAAACTTTGCAGACCTTTTACACACAAACAGCTTGTAGCAGCATATAAAAAAAATTAAATAATTTAAGGACTCCCTGCATTTTAATTTTTCAAACAAAAAGTTTACCATGACATTCAGACAATTTATGAAATTAAGACTACAACTCTAAAATAAACCAAATATTAATACTTGTTTTACACGGCCACAAATACAATTTTGGAATTTTAGAGACAATTACAAAAGGAACCTTTCTTGTTTTGATTAATAGTTTGGTAACAACGTAATAAAAACATTAATAGAAAATAGTAATCGATATAAAAAGTACACACAGCCCTACTTATATCATAAACAAATGGAAGATTTGGATTGAATGTCACAGGTCCTGCTGAGCTTGTCTTCACTAGACCTACTGCTTGAAAATGTGATTGGTTAGTACAGCGCATTGTTCCTAACTTTGCTTCCAGTTTTCAAATTGGTTTTGAAAATTCAAAAACAGTAGGCGTTATTGCAAAGTATGGCAATATAGAAAGTCATTGGGTATTCAATGCACAGTCTACATGCTATATACTACTCAGTCTGAACACTGCCAAATGTCAGTTAACACCATATAAGAAATAACCTTCATAATGAGGTCTTGTCTCGACCACTGCCAGGACCAAACAACAAACATATAAGGTCCATTAAGAGCAGGTGTCGAGGTTCTCTAGCACTGGCATTTGAACATTCCAGTCAGACATACAACTGTATGCAGATACCAACAGTGCAGGCTAGTGTTTGGAATCAGCCAATTGAACACTACATACCTCTCACACGCCTCCAATCACCAAAGGGCTGGTGCGCCGCCTAGTGGACATCCTTTAGATCACACCTACAGAGCAGAAATTCACAGATGAGATGTTGCTCTTCATTGTGTCTGACAAACGAAGGTACATCCTTTAAGCTAATTGAATGTACTGCAGTGTTTTCCCACAAAGCTAACGATATTAGCAACATGGGTAAAGCGATACTACAGACTTTATCTCTGAGGTATTTCCAACGACTAAGCTCTACTGAGAGGGGCCAGTCGGGATAGACCTCATTTAAACAACTTTTTCCAAAATCCATTACAGATAAAATGAAAACAAATACTAGGCCTGCCGCAATTAATCGGATCGTGGCTAGTCTAATTGCAATTAGATAACCCATAAATGAGCGGTTTAAATTTTAATCAGGGTTTGCCATCCAAATAAGGGAAATATGGAAGCTATATGACATTATAAATGACTGTATAAATATTTTTCACAGCATTAAATTAGATCAAATTGGCCTATTTTATTATGGGTTTCATTATTATAAAAATAAGGACTTGTACTGCACTGTAAGTGGCATAAGAAAAACAGTAAAATCATTAATACAATTATTCGTATGACAAATTTATAATTGTGACAGGCTTAGCAGATACTTTTACAACAACTGAAAAAGTGCTAACATGCAGTGACATTTACCATCTGAATAGGATTCCTCGGAAACAAAAAAGGATTATTTTTTGGATAAATTCCCAGGATTGAGGCAACATTTTGTTCTGGAGCCTGAAAATAAATGGAAACGTAAGAAAAGCATAGCACATGTACATTAAGCACACTCAAGGAGAGTTTCACTGTTCAGAAAGGCACATACTCTTTCATGGTTTATAAGAGCAGTTGAACATTAAAGGCAATCATCATTACAAAACTCGTTGTTAAAGTCATCATTATCCCAATTAAATTCTTACCTATTGACCCGTCTGTTCACAGGAGTGTCACCCAAAACCTGCAAGCACACGGAAGTTTTGAAATTATAAGCGAACAATAAAAACAGGCAAAAAAATTCCCATGCTAAACATGTCTCTTCTCAAAAGTAACACTGTTATTTGGTGAGCACAACAGCGGGTTGCAAGAGAAGGGAATTGTAATTTTTGCACTGCACTAGTTCCTAAGCCCACTATGACTAGACTGTGACTAGTACTGTGCATTTAATTTAGCAAAACAATCCAAACCACTTACCATACTGCATATGTCGGGTACAATAGGCTTCAAACCACATGGAGAGAGTTAAGAACCACCTGGAGGAAAAAAAAAAGTCTTCATACACCAAATTACAACCGTTGCAATGACGACATGTCGTGATATCCCAGGCCTCATTGTCATCATTGCAACGGTTCAACAGTGATGAAAGCAAACCTGGTGTTTTTCTAGCCACGCAGATCGAGGAATTTGCCATATTTGATAAACTCCACTTGTTATGTTCTGCTTGGCAACTTACGAGATCTGCTCAATTTTTACAAACTTGTTGCCCACAAGGACCAAATCACCCACAATAGATAATAGGGGTAAAGAACTTTTTAGCTCACTGTATTGATTTATTAAGGGTGATTTGGTCTATGTGCACAGGAATCTACAGGACTATTCAACCACGTGGTGCAGTATACGATACGCTAAAACGTAAAAAATACAACTCCCTGCCTTAAACTTTTCAAAGGTAACATACATTAAACTTAAAAGAAAACAATCTTGATCAGTGAAACTATGAAGTAACAACAAATTACCTAGTTTAAGTCAGACGTCTTCACACACGCGCTCTGAAGCGAGTTGAATCAGAGGAGGAAGGAAGGAAACGGAAGAAGAACGTCATTTTTATACTGCACTGCAGTGGCAGTAGCTAACTTTACGACATTTTACGGCTCCGCGTTTCTGTGGCAACAGAGCATAAAATAATATAAAACGGACAGACGTATTTAGAAATATACTAGAAATAACCAAAGAGAGTAAAAGGAAATAACTGGACTATGGAGTATTTGTGAAAAATACTGTTTAAATAAAAAAAGTAAAAGAGGTTACATTTACATGGTATCCAGCAAAGAGATTTAATTTGATTATTCCTGTGATTTTTGTTCAACAGAAAAAGGCCATCTTATTTTATTCAAGATGAATACTTTTGATATCTGTATGTATTATTCCGATTAAAATAATTATATTATTATTATTTACTTTTTATTTTGGGAAAAATCCACATACACAAAAAGAAATACTAACATATAAATTTTGTATACGGTTGTATACTTTGTTGTAATAAAAAGCTAGTAAAACTTATTCAGATAGATCGATCGAGCAGGGCTTCCGTATGAAACGACAGATAATTTTGTCCATTCTTTTTATAATAATGACATAGATATAGAGCTCTATTCCATCTAGATATCATCGACACCTAAACATTGAAATAGTAGCAAAGCAACAACGGCACAATTAATCATTTTGGAAAAGCAAAACATCTCTCAAATGCGAGACACACGTCACGTGACCTCACGCACTAATTTTAGCGCCATTATATTCACGCGAGTTATATCGAAGTACTCTTGACCATTAAACCTGTGTGATTGGCATATTGTCTTTTTATTATGGGGGCTTGTTTTTCAAGAGAAAAGATCCCCTTTGAAGCTTATAGATTTTGGTCTGCTATAGCAACTTCTCTTCGCCTCGGCTGGCTTGGGACGGAAAACGTCAGGACGGTTAGTGTTAAAATTAACTTAGTTCGTTATTGAACAAAAGAGCTAGCTAGTATGCTGAATTTAATAGTTAAGTTAATAATTATTAAATAATATATCATAAATGAATCATTAAGTTGCTAGCAAGTCAGGGTTAGAATCACTAGATGCATGGTGACATTTAGCCGTTTGTAAAATAAAAGCTTGATTGCGTCATCAAATAACAGGCCACAATAGGCTTTATGCACAGCTTCACTACTTCCTGAACTTTAGCCAGCTCCTTTGTTTCCTGTCTGCCATTATTGGACAAACTGATTAATCCAGGTGTGCCTGATTATTGTTACTGAGGCCAGGCACACTTGGATTAATCAGTTTGTCCAATAATGGCAGACAGGAAACAAAGGAGCTGGCTAAAGTTCAGGAAGTAGTGCAGCTGTGCATAAAGCCAATTCGCACTTCTTTTAACTAGGAGATGAAAACGGCCCAGCTTGGTCTTTCCCCTAATCTGTTGAACTCCTCAGCTGTAGAAGAGGATTATCTCGGCCTGGAGGAACATCTTCGAGAGGTAACGTTACTGTGGAAATATCAACAGTTGTAATCATGTATTTACTAGTCTGATGTACAAGGTCTACTCTTTTTTTAAATATTAGCTCTTTTCTTGTTAAGTTTCTCTCTATGTCACTTCAGTGTTAGTTCCTTTTTAACCCAGATCAGATGTTCCCAAATGAAGCTGTGATAACCTGCATCTTCTCCATTCCGCAGTTTGGTCCGCACTATTCAGTATTATCACTAGTACAAATAAGACCAAATATACATCTTTTTTTATACTGATTTGCATCAGCAGTATAGAGGGAGATTGCAGTGTCTTCAAGGTGAGAAATTAACCGGTAGGGCCTAGTTTAGGTCTAATCTGCATTTGTAATAATATTTGAATAAAGAGTGAAGATGTCAATTTTCCCAGGCTGGACATCACTTTTGGCCACTTTATACACTTCCTGGCCAAAAAAAGGTCACTGTTTGGATTTACATGGACAAATAGTCTGATTGGACCATTATTGCTGTGATTATTATGCTTCTAGCATGTTATATGTTATGCAGTTCTTCTAATCCTAATTGATGGAGTGTGTAGCTTTTCATTTCTTAAACAACCATTTAGGAAGATGCATCATGGCCATATTCCAGGATGACAACGTCAATATTCATCATCAGGCTCAAATTGTGAAAGAATAATTTGGAGGGAGCATGAAGAATCATTTTCACACATGAATTGGCTTCTCTGAGTCCAGGCCTGAAATTCATTGAAAGTCTTTGGGAAGTGCTGGAGGAGACTTTACAGAGTGCTGGACTCTTGCATTGTCAATACAAGATCTCGACAAAAAACTGATGCACCTCTTGATGGAAATAAATGTTGTGATGTTATTTCCATCAAGAGGTGCATCAATATTTGGTCAAGAATGATCTTGTATTGACAATGCAAGAGTCCAGCACTTTAATTCCAAACAGCTACTTTTTTTTTGAAAACATGAAAACAACAATTTGCGAGAACTGAATAGAGATTCCCGAACTTTCAAAGGATTTGTGAGTAATTTTAGAGGACAGAAGAACTCGGTCAGATAAAGGCTTGTTAAAGGAAGTTAAACAAATTAATTGCACAAAGAGGGCAGCTATAAAAAGCCACTGTTGAGCAGCAAACAGGTATTTGAAGCTGCTTTTGTCTCTCTGGAGTCTCAAGAACCTCTTCATGCAGGCTGCATTTCAGCCACCTCTAACCAAAGCTCACAAAGAGAAACGTTTACAGTGGGTGTAGAAATACAGCACACCTACTCTAAATGTGTATTGTTGCACTTATCTTATAGGGTGCGGATGTCTCGTGTGGTGATGAGCGCCGCCGGACACCTTTACATGTGGCAGCAGGAGAGGGCTATGAAGGCACTGTTCGCTTCTTGCTGCAGCAGGGAGCAGACGTGAATGCCGTTGACCGTGATGGAACTTCTCCACTTCGAGATGCCATTCACGCCAAGTACTCGTCACATTTGTGTTCTTCTTACTGGATGTACATTGCAACCCAGGGTCAAAAAGGATCTTTTCCATTAAGGAGCAATATTTGCCCCCTGGAATTGATTTACAGGGGTGTTTTTACCTCTGTACAGGCAATTTTTATAATTACCTTATTAAATGCATCTGTGTTGTCTTTTATGTCAGACACTTAAGTTTATCCAATTACTTCAATCCCTCAGAAGAATACTATAACAATAACATTTTATCAACATCAACAGAAGCCATCTTTATTACACTGCAAAGGTGGAACAGAAGCTGCATATGACATGGCATGTTTATTTACACAGACTATTTAATGCTGCTCATGTATTTACACTACAATTGCCTAAATAAAATAGTCTATATAAATTATAACATTTAACAGGAATTCATCACATGGTTGGGCTTCAATTTTATGATAAAAATCATTATTGTTGATTATTTCTCTTGATATTGTAATAATCAGGGCTGCACAGTGCACACACACTTTTTGGTCTGGTTCTCAAGGGAGAACCTGGAGATGCTGCTTGGTCCTCACACTTTATGCGGCACACACACTTATCCTTCAAGCTGTCATCATCACTTTCCTACTGACTGCTCCCCTCACTTTTTTCTTTTCTCTCCAACATGGTAGATGATGATGATAATGTTTTTTCATTTTATTAACATTAATGGCACAGAAAACAGCAGGAATATTAGGTTGCGGTCACTTTAACACCGCATGCACAGACTGAACATACTGACACACATCCGGTTTCTTTCTCAACTGTTCGCTTATGACATAATCGAGAAAATATTTGCCAAGACGGGTATTTTGACCATTTTGTGTGTCCTTTGAAGCGCAAGTAAACGTGAAAGAGGAATCAATTTGGTGCTGACAGATAACAGCGCGCGAGTCCCGATTTTCGCCTGTTCTTCTGCGTTTAAAATCATTTTAATGTGTAAATTGGCAAGACAAAACATGTCCAAATGATAAACTTTCACTCTATGATGGTTAAACTTAGCAGTTAATCCTCGAATCACGTGCGTGCCAAACCGCGGAGCCTGGTCCGTACGGATCATGGATCAACTGCGATCCCTTGCACCCCTAATAATTAATAAACACACTTATCATCATGATTACTAACTTACCAGAGATGGAGAAAAATCCTACTCCAGTGAGTAAATGTGTCCCTGTCCCCAAAAACATTGCTACTCAAAGCGCGTTTTCTGTTGCGCATCGTTTATTTTTACCATGCATGCGCACCTGTTCACCAGTTATGTGCACCCCTGGGAATGATTATTAATATGGACTAATAGAATACATTCAAATGTTTTTGTGTGGGGAAATGGCACGTCATATTCTGGCTGCACAGACAAAAATGTTTATTGCGAATTAGTTTATTGCTTTTTATGCGTTCGAAAATCAAGGCTTCATATTGGTTATTTTAGTAGCTTGAAATACAAAACTTTTATTCAAACTGGGTCTGGGAATAAATTATATACAGAAAGGGAGCAAAAAACACTGAAGCAGTCCATGTCTTTAGTCTAGCGTGTTTAAGCACTCTCAAAAACTCATTACAATAAGTGAAGCTGTCTACACTACAAAATAAATCTCTTGCATAGTATCTGCACTTGCTTGTTTAAGATGAGAGAATACAGGAGAGTGCAGAATTCAGTGAATTGAATGCGTGCAGTGATCAAAACGGCCTTTTCAGCTGTGACTAAACTAAACTCCTCTTTAGAAACATGTGTGTTTTTTTTTATGTATAATGGGTTTTAATGCTCAATGCGGCAAAAAACAAAACAAAACTGATGCTACGTGTGTGCAGATCTAAATGTTATGCTGCAGTTGACACTTTTTATTCATCATCAAATTTCACTTTAATCTTGACAGACAATAGATTGTTTAGTGACATTTTTGCCCCAAATCCCCATTAATTTCCATACCCTGATGCATATCCACATTTACTGATTCAACTTTTAAATCAATAGGAGTCAGGTGGTGGTGAAGGTATTAGTTTCTGCAGGGGCAAGTTTGGAAACATCCTCAGAGCAACTTGGGGCTGAGATGTGCTAGTAAGTGGGATTTATGTTTATACAAAGGTACATTTTACAAAAGAGGGCACTTGATAAAAGGTATCAGTCTGACGTGGCGAATATGTTATAACTTAACTATCAATAATTGTAGTCTTATATGGATTGTGCTTGAATGTGGATTGTGCTTTTCAGTCTTGCATCCCTTGGAGCCACAGAACAGATGGAGGCGTTGAAGGCGGCTGGAGTCAGTTTGAATGTTTCTGATGTTCACGGTCGAACTCCCTTACATGTGGTGAGGGTTTCTCAGAAATGTTAAGTAAATTTTGTTCCTATGAAGAGCATTTAAGCTCGGCTCATCTTCCTTCATTTGCTTTAATAGGCGGTGTGCACAGATCAACCTGAAATGGTGAAGTTCTGTATCAGCAATGGATCCGATCTTGAGGTATGGACACAAAGGATTTAGAAGCAATTGTTTATCTGCCAAGGGTTTGGACACACATCATGTTTATTATTATTGCTGTGTAAGTAGGGATATATATAGTACCTATACTAAGTAGGCATGCATGACATATCAGCCACCGTATCGGTATCGGCCGATATATGTTCATTTTTAATGTTATCGGCCCATAAGAAAATTTGGCACATATATTTAAGTCGGTAAATAATGGATTATTTCCTTCCGCTGAGACATTTCAGATGCCATTTTAATGGTGAGACTTTTGTTTTTGTAATCAGGCTCTCAAAAATTATATAAAAAGTTGGATTTAGATTATGGGTGTTATCGGCTTTCAGATATGAAGAATTATCGGTATCGCCCAACAATCTTATATTTGACAGACTGTAAAGTTGCCACCCTGTGGCTTGATTACACCTCTGCACACTGTTCATTGTCTCATGAGGTGCATGCTGGGATGCTTTAGTCTCAGGGCTCTCAAGTGTCAAGCATTGAGCGTGGCAGTCACTCATTTCGGTCTTTTGTCACGCTCTCCCGCCACACATTGTATTTCTCACGCTGAAAAACTATTTGTAATATATTTAATATGCCGCAGCGCCCAAAACTCTGGCCGCGCCGCTCTCACTGTGCAACCGACATGAATCAAGCGCGTTTCCTCTGGTGTTGTTCATCGAGCTACACAATAGCCAATCCGAAAATAGCACTATTGTATCTGGGTAAGATTTAACGCAACAACCAATGACAAAAATGTATCCAACCAACCACATTTTTGTACCAAAGTTGGTACAATTTATTTAGTCTCCAAACATTAAAAGCCTTTCGATCAAAAGGTTTTTTAGTTCATGAGAAAGCCAGATGTGTCCAAACCTTTCACTCTTGGTACTGTAAGGATATAAAAGCATCACTGGGTGTGTTCACACTTGTAGTTCAGTTCACTTGGTTTGTTTGGAAGCGAAGCGAGACTCGTCTTTTCAGCGATCTCTGTCCGCTTGTTTGGTGCGCACCAGGGTTCGTTTTAATCAAACCAAAAATGGCAAGTGTGAACACACCCTCTATCTCTTTGTATTTTAATGATTAAAAATGATACTACTTCAATCTTCTCTGAAATAACAGCAAAGAGACAGGTTGAACAACAGGCCTGTAGATGATGCTCAGAGACTAGGCTTACAACACTTGGTGGAGCGGTTGAGTTATCAGGTCAACCAGGCCACAGAACAGTGAGGAACAGCAGCTGTCTGTACTTGTCAAAGGGTTCAAAGGTTAAAGTTCATTGCCATTGGCTCTTCTAGATCATTAATGACAATTTTTAAAAGCATTGTTTCATAAGGATGGAAAAAAAGGTAATGTGAACTTTTGTTTTAGACGTTTTTAGAACAACTAAAATCGGTTAATGAAACAATAAAACATTCCTAACATTAGTTTTGTTTAATCATTTGTATTCAATATTCTGTTTTTTAAAACAGAGTTCCAAGGGCACCGTTTATTTCCAGTTTGATATTAATCTCCAAGACAAACAGAGTTGAACTCATTTTCAGGTGTTTATTTGATATGGGTTTCCAGTTCTGAACACGTAAATAGCAAATATCATTTGCCATAGTAAAAAACACACTCTAGATATAATACTTTGAAGTTGGACAAAAAATGAAAGTAAAATACAGATTCTGGTGTCTGACGGCACTTGATAATGACATTATACTGAAACTCTTGATGCTTTCAGGTGGTCCGTGATATTTTCGCTATAGGTCGTTGACTAACCCACAACGGGTTTAAGATCTTATAAATATGGTTTAAATAAACATTCAAAGAATGCATGAGCAATTTAGTGAGTAAGGGAGAAAACACAGCCAATCGGTTTCTTTTTTTAGTTTGAATGTTTAGCACTACCAGATGCCAGAATCTGAAGTTATACGGGCATCCTCCACCTCTGCCATCACGGCACGATCACACAGTGTAAGGATACCCATAGTGTGTCTTTAAGAGGCATTTTCCAAAAGACAATGTTTTAACAGTGTAACACAGACAAGAAGATAACTTATGCCATATGTATCATATTGTTTCCATATTAAAAGCTAATATCAATCTAGGAATCTTTGTAAAGTGAGCGGTGCAAAAACACACGTTACAAAAGAAAAGGCACGATAATTCGGCCATTCGGTGCAAGATTAAGGTGAACCAGGAGGAGAAATATATTGACTTCATCAGAGAACCACTATAATATGCAAACAATTGCCTGAGAGTTAAAAATGATCAAAACAAGACAAGATTTATTTTTTGTAACATGCAGTCACATGTCCAGTCAATGGAGCAACCTGACGGGCAATGCGATAGCGTTCAAAAGTACAAAAACGGTCTGAAAAGGAAGGCTGACATTCTTGTAGCATCCGAGAGCAGGAACTGTCTTTTTACAGAGAAGAACAGCAGTATCAAACATTAAGCAAAGTTATTTTAATGACAGCCCAAGAACATTGCATGCATTTTTATGCCATAGAGTTTTTGTACAAAAGCAAAAAGATAACAAAAATGTCACAGGAGTGGCGTGCACAATGAACATCGTCAGAGAGCGATAAGGTTGCTCAGTTGGTGAACACACACGACCGTAGGGCTGTATACAGGAGTTTCATTGTTTTTAAACTAATGGCCAACATCTGAAGTCTATGGAAGCTTGTTTCTGCCACTGGATACAAAATAAAAAAGGATAATGACTTCATTTCTCAATTCTGACTTTTTTTTTCTTTCCGGAATTGTGAGTTAAAAAGTTGCAATTACCTTTTAAAATGTTTTATTCTGTGGCGGAAACAAACTTCTATAGAAGTCTGATCTCCAATGTAGAGTTTCCCTTAAACTGAAAAAAAAAAACCTACTGGTAATTTGAAAAAAACAAAACAAACAAAACATTTTTGTCAAACATACAGTAATATAATATCTACAAAACCCACCAACGGCATGCTAAATATGCAATAATACAGAAAGGTTAAAATAATACACTGGTTATAATTTAATGTCACAAAATAACACAACTTGATGAAATACACAAAATTAAAAGAAACGGCGTTTAAAAAAATATATTAAGTCATCTTTAAAATGCTCAAAGGAAGAATAAGATAAACATGCTATTAATAAATCTCAAAACAATAGTAACTTGTAAAAGTTTGTCAAGTCCATTTTTTGATTTACAGACTTTAGAATAAAAGATGTTGTGTATGGATTGGGCTTGGGCACAGTGTTTCATCTGAAAATCAATAATCAGTGGTCAAGCAAGAGTTGTGTAAACCTCCGGATGAAAGTTGTCCATAATCCATGGTCTTTAATTCTAGCATAGTGCCTTTGTGTTTCCTCTGTGTAAACAGGGTTTGGGCTCTAGAAAAAAAAGTCTGAAACTCTGCTGTGTGAGTTCTTAATGTCCATTTGCAGTGAGGGCACAGAGTAGACTAACTAGCAGGTTATTCAATTTAATTAAAAAAAAGAAGAAAATATTCTAGCATTTTGTAATAGACGGAGGAAGTAAAAACTTTTTTTTTGAACCTTCACTGACAAATATAATCCTCTCAATCATCAGTTTACAGTTTATGCCCTGGCCTCAGAAAGGGTTTCGACTGTATTCTAGATGTAAACAATATGCAGTTCTGCCTTGTTTTGAAAATTGTATTTTCAGAGCCCATTTGCTGCCATGATGCATACGCGTAATAATACATTTACTGAGAGTTAACATCTGTAAACAGCAGTCTTGAATACACATAATAAAACCTCAAAGATAGCCAAGAAAATGGAGAAAGAGAGCAGTAGAGTGTGGTTAAGTATTTGAAGACAGGAACTGATCTCTTGTTGGCTGTGGGAACAATATCTCTCCATTTTCAATGAGGTTGTACAAACACAGGTTGATTAAAGACCCTTATATAAGCCCAAAAGCCACATCAAGCCACACAATCAGACTGCAAGCTCAACACCAGGACACGTACAGGAGATCGAGCAGGTGTGTTAGTTGGGATCAGATACTGGCACCCATCTCTAAATCAGTGGACTGCTGAAGTGTTGATCTATCCATCACAGGCTGCTGGGCTTCACATCGACATCATGTAGGGACGGGACGGGACGGGGCTTCGCGAGCCTTTCAGTCATTGTACCCTGAACCAGGGAGTTCATTGGTTAACGTGTGCCAGCGCTCGATTTTCTTGTCCTTGTTTTTCAGGCAGTCAAACCAGTGTTTTAGCCTCTCGCCGTTGGCGTTTATGCCTAAAGAGACTCCACCTGGAGAAAAGGTGGAAAAGTTCATTAAAACAGCCAAAGGCCAGAAGTTCCCCGTGGGACTCGGGCCTCAACTATAAGGATAACCTACTGGAGAAAGTTTCAGGCCAGTTGACAAACTTAGCACTATGGCCGAATTCGCAAGTGAGCCTCCCTATGCCCTGCTCACTCATGGATGGACTTTGGATGGAGCAGCGCACTTGCGTGTCTAATCAAAGAGTATAGAAGAACAAGAGGCGAAACTCTGATGCTTTTTTGGTAACAGCCACTAGGTGGCGCGGCCGCCATTTTGGGGTGAAAATTCCAACTGGAGTTACATGGACAACAGCACAGATAACAGTTTTTTGAGGTAGTTTTTTCTTGCATTAGTGAGTATTTCCATTTTATGCAATTTTACACCTTTACTACTATTATTAGTTACCAACTCCACTAGGCCTGGAATATATTTTGTACGTTTTAATCCCCTGGATCATCCTACAAACATGATGATCTTATAGAACATGATGCATTGCTGTGTCCGTTATCTATAATTGCCACTTTGGACAGTGGCTGTGTTTTTTTTGTTTACATAGTCTTGCTTTAACGGTCATTAATATAAGATAGTACTGCAAAAAAACACAAACAAAAAAAACACAGTTTACTGTAAAGCTATTCTATTGCTGTTATATATTTATTGTCCAACATTTACATTTTAGTACAATTACATTTATTTGCTGAATTCATTTATTTAATTGATAACTTATTTTTGTATGTGACGTTATGTACCTCCTGGGAAACGGTCTAACGTTATTATAACTTTATGAACTGATATCACTTTATTCTTACCTGTCACACTTAATGTAGAGAGTAATATAATTAATTAAATCCTTGAACTTCCCTGTCTCAAGTTATGTGGGGGAAAAAGCCTGGTTATAGCAACTTCTTTTTAACTGCTATAACGTTAACTGCTGTGAGTTAAAATAATCATCTAATTATTTCAACCTAAAATGACCTCTGCACTGGACTAAATATATGTATAATATATGACTGCCGAGTTGCTTTCACCCCAAAATGTAGCGCTGGTGTTGCAATGGAACGTTCTATTGGCTCTCACTTCTTGTCAATATACGTTCTTTGGTTTAATGTAGCTGTTTGGAACACACTTTGTGAAAGAAGGAATTTAAGACAACATCATTTCCTCATTACCTTAACCTGAAATATTATCATGACAACATAGCATGGTGTCAATAAGCCCATTAGTAGCTGTTCTAACAACATGAATTTTATATTTTAGTTAATGTAAACAATATGCAGTTCTGTCTTGTCTTGTTTTGGGGCCTAATGGTTAGAGAATCAGACTGGTAACCCGAAGGTTGCAGCTTCGATTCTCAATACCAGCAGGTGCCCTTGAGCAAGGCTCTTAACCCTCAATCAAATGACCGAGTGGCGTGCCCTTCAAGGGTGTTTGGAATTCACCTATTTGATCATGCACACACCTGCTTGCTAATTCAGCTGGTCAACTTGTTAAACTTACAGAACTAGCTGGCTGACACAGATGAAGCTTTGTTGAAATTGCAAGAATGGCTTGAAAATCACAAACCAATCAGTAATGCTTTCCTTGTATGTCAACATTTATCAGCGTTAATGTTTAGCAAAATTATTTATTGCCATCTTGAACTTTACTGTATGATTATAGTTACTGTGCTTTTCAGCTATCAAGAAAAAATCATATTTTATGAAGAAATGATTTGTGTATAATGTTTTTACATTTTTTAATGAAACGTGAATGTAAAAATTAATACATTTACAATAAGACATTTCAAATTAGAAATATAAATTTAAGTTCATAAAAAAAATACATTTATAAATTGGGGCAACTTCTGGCCTGACCAGACAAGCAGAAAAAAATCTTTACCGCTGAGCCTATATAACCTTTGGCAGTAACATACAACTCACCACAACCCGTGAAAACAAAAAATACAAATATAGCATCAAATTAATATCATTAATGTAAGTTTAACAAGACTTGTACAGTAAATAGGTCCTACCAATGAAATCGTTGGATTTGCCGATGTCATAGTCCCAAACGGTCACCTCCAGGGTCTTTTTACTGAGGTCAGCGTACTTGATCTCATAGAAAAACTCCTGTCATAGAAGAATGGAATTAGCAATTATAAACACAACTGTGCATTAGACAATCAGGCACGGGTCAGCTCAATCTTACTTCATTGAATTCGGGGTTGAGGGTCTTCTTTTTGACAGTTGTCTTGTGCTTTGATTTTTTGTTCTCATCTGGCTTGAGATACCTGAAATACATTGGTGATATTGAAAGAAAGATGCATTTAGCGTGATCATGTCTTTCACTTTGGGTTAAGTCGGCTTTCTACTAATTTGGCACAGGCTTACTCTTGATGCACAGGCAGTAAAACTGGCGAAAACATGCAGAATGGTGTTGTCATATGCAACAAGTCAATATGACCACCAGAGGGCATTGCAGCTCTTGTATATCAAATTTGGAGAGCTGAAGGAAAAAGCCATGAAAGGATACACAAGGTTCGTTGCAGGATATTTCCACCATTTGCTCTAGGAGCTTTCTTAAATAAATGAAAGATTCACTTTAAACTTCGAGGTCATTAAATGTCTCTTTCTGGCTCTATCCCTGCGAGTCTTCTTAATGAGGGTCCCTTGCTCTTTACCAAAGACCACCAAACAAGCAGACAGCCAATAAATAGACTGATTAAAGAAGATCCAAGCTGCCTAATAATCACAGCCTGTGTCTTATATTGTAAAAGCAATAATACAAATTCCCTCTCATTTATTTGATCATCTAGGGATCTGTTAAATAAGAGTAAAACACTGAAATGCATCTCGTTCAAGATATTACAGAGATGTCCGTAGACATTTAAGGTAAACGTGAAACTTGTGAAAGGCTCGCTTCCCTCTTATTGTTGAGCTCCTGACATTTGCTCCAGTTACGCTCTCTATAGTCAACAATTTCAGCTTTTCTTCTGAATAAATGAATCCGCAGTTCTCCTTCTCTATATAAAAACGAACACTCCTACTTTTCAATAAAAAGTAACTCGTTTCCTTCCCAAAAAGGTGAACGTCGTCAACTGCTATCAATCCGGAAAAACTGCTTTGTGCATAGACGGGAAAAACAGGAACGACACAATGTTAAAATAGCAGACGGAGACGAAATAATGGCACAAATACACAAGATTTGCACGAGCAGAAACAACAAATGAATCATTTCGTATTCAAAGCTTTTTGTAGAGACAGAATCAAGCTGTTGAAATTGACCAATGGTTGCACATGTAAGAAACAAGAACATAGTCCCCGACTGCTATAATCCCTCAATAACTGGTTTGATTCAGGAAGTGAGGGAGTTGAGAGCTCAAATCCCTTCTGTGTGCTGAAGCAGAGATCATTGCTTCATTTAAACCAACACATTCCAGTCCTCAAAATACAAAGATTTGCATTTCTCCATATCAAAGACAGAATTCTAAGCTTATGACTGCACTGGTATCAACCGTTGACATAAATGCTTGTGTTTGGCATGGATGAATAGACGTGCTAAAGGTTTACTTACAAGCATACCTGTGCGCATACATACTTACACATTGTCAGTAATCATTTAGCAAACACTTTTATCCACAGCGCCTTAATGCTAATTTGATTTTTGGCGTTGAGTGCCTTGTTCAAAAGCTCACTCATGTGGGATTCAAACCTACAACCTTTTGGTTACACATCAGCACCTTAAATACAACATAATCAAAATCCACCCTATTTTTTAAATGTATTTTTATTGTTCTTATTTATTCATCTGTGCACAGGTTGAATGCTTTACTACTTTTTAACCTCCCACTTTTCTAAGGGGTCCTATTATGCTTTTTTACATGTTTAACTTTCTTTAGCGTGTAATGTTAGCCTGGGAAAACCCAGACAACTTCCGGCAAATTTAGATTTGCTCTGAAAGTTAGTCTGGCAAAGAGCTCATTCAAGCCCATTTCCAATCCGCCGAAATCGAGGCACCAATCAGAAACGTTGGGGCGGGCTTTACACGATGACGACAGCGCTGGGATTTTGAAGCAGATTTTGTAGCCTACATTACAAAGATGGATGCCGCCGTCGAACATCACTCGTTCGAATCAGCTATCGCGTCTGTTTTAACCCTTGTGTTATGTTGCGGGTCAATTTGACCCGTTTCGATTTTCTAGTTGTTGGAAATACTGGTTAACCTTTGTTTTTTTTTCTTGATATTTTGTGACTTTTTCTCATTTATCATGATGAACATGCATGCAAAGTTTCAACATGCTGATGTGTTTTGACATATACAAACAAAATTAATATTACGTTCGTGATGTTCGCGGGTCAATTTGACCCTCATAGGCAGCCATTCAAAAGCAACTGTACAGACACAAAATAAAAACATTTATTTTCTGTATGTAAGGGCACTTCAACTCCAGTTCTAACGTGCAGGTGTATCTAAAAGTGATCTAACCCTGACCAAACACTTGAAAAAGCCAAAAGCACAGTGTTTAGAATTATTTGCAAATTACAGATGAAAATCTTTGTCAGACACAGATAGTAAAATAAGCTCTCATTTCAATATTCAAGATATCTAAAATACCTAGCTTTTAACCAAAACTTTTATGTAGGATTTTCAAAGGCATCTTCACAGAGCCAAAAAAGTAATAAAAAACATTTATTTGATGCATGTTTTTGTTATGTTTGGTTTCTCACTTCCCTGTGAGTGAATAATGAAACTAGGGAACTAGGTCTTAGGAAACTAGGGAAAGTTAACATAGGAAAATAAAAAAAATTCATTATACAGCAAAATTTTATTGTTCAGTTACGATGTTCAAAGCAAAAAAAAAAGAGGAAAAAAAAAGAGGAAAAAAAAAATGTATATGCAAAAAAGTCAGTCTACTGTTTATTTTCCAATTTTGTCAAAAATTGGTTTAAAAACATTTTTATAAATCTTATTGTCAGATATAATGTTTTTGTAATGTTTGACAAATGTTGATATTAAAAGTTTACAGTTTGTATCTAAATCTTTGTTGTTTTTCATAGTGTGATTTTTGAGGAATTGTATTGAATCCAATTAGGGTAAATTTGACCCGCTCCATAAAGGGTGTACACAGAATTCGAACAGTGCACAGGGGTTAAGCGATTTGAACGTTTCCTTTTTGTTAAAAACTGCTCCGCCGCTCTGCATACGTCATCTCCTTCATTGCTCTGATTGGTTTTAGGTCTATCCGCGACGTCCGTTGGTGACGCCCCTCTGGAAATGATTTGTCTATGACGCTTTGCCAGACCATAACTCAGTTACAACTGAGAATGGTCTGGTTTTAACCAGGCTAGTGTAATGTTGCTGTTTGCGCATGAAAAAGGTCTGCAAAGTTACAAAGCACAAAGTCACTCCAAAGGCAGTTCTTCTCTATATCAGTGCGCACTGTTTCTGAACTCCCTGAAACGCCTCAGTTGTAGTCTTGAGTTTTCTTGCACCTGGTGACGTATGCTGGACTTCTTAAACGCTTCAGCCTCTACATGCTCACATGAATCTGCCTTTGTTTCTGAGTGCACTGCCCACATCTCAAAATCGCTCAACAACCGATGGATAGAACCAACTTTTATCACGACTTTAAACTGTGAAAGACCTTTAAAAAAGGTTAGGAAGATAAAAGGGTCATATTTTTAAACTCGTAATAATCATCAGGGTCCTGTGGTATATCTAGGTAAGGAAAATCTCTTGCACATTATTTGTAAGTTTTAGAAAAACGTTAACGTATTCTGACTTCAGTGCATGAAAACGTCGTGTCTAATTGTTATACCACAGATTTGAGTCGACTAGCATCACTAAATCCAGCAACAGGATTTCCTTTGATATCTGTAATTTCAGCATACAGAACAGTGAAAAGACAGATGATAGAGAGAGGTATGACTTACGTTTTAACATAGGGGTCAGAGAAGCCATTGGCATCCATGGCAGCGAGATGGGCACAGCGGATGATGCCAACCACTAAGCCAGACTTCTGAGAGCTGTACTTCAGAGAGATCATGATGCGCCCTCGCTCCTCCAGAGACTTGTCATCTGTCTTGTCAATCTGTGTCAACACACAAATAGAAAACAGTCAGTCCAGCTTCTAAGAACTATAAAAAAAGATGGATGTAGACTACATATATATTTGAAGTATTAACTTAAACATGAAACCTAGCATTCATTTTGCAATTCTATGAATCTGATTGCTTTAAAGGGATACTCCACCCAAAAATGAAAATTCTGTCATCATTTACTCACCCTCAAGTTGTTGCAAACCTGTAAGAGTTTCTTTCTTCTTCTGCTGACCACAAAGGAAGATATTTTGAAGAACGATTGGAGTCAAACAGTTGTTTGGCACCATTGACTTCCATTGTAGAAACAAAAAATACTATGGAAGTCAATGGTGCCAAAGTTCCAATCGTTCTTCAAAATATCTTCCTTTTTGTTCAGCAGAAGAAAGAAACTCATACAGGTTTGCAACGACTTGAGGGTGAGTAAATGATGACAGAATTTTCATTTTTGGGTGGAGTATCCCTTTAAGCGGGCTCAGACTACAGTCTGCTCAGAGTTTCAGCCCAAATTAATCCTGATTTTCCCCTTCCGACATTCTGAAAAAAAAAAAAAAAAATGGAGTCCAGGGCATTGGTCGGTTCCGATGTTCGGCACAGATTATCTAGTAATGTGAGACGTTTACAGATCAAATCTTAAACCCTCCGATCTGCTCACGGACACATCGGTGCCGTCCTGACAATATCAAACATGTTTGATATTTAGCAGGATTGACGGAAGTGACCGTGACACAAGCAGCTGCATAGGTCCGGTGGACAATGAGGATGGAGGAACGGCTGGTCGAATTGTGGCAACAACTGGACTGCCTTTATAATGTCTCCTCATATAATGTCTCCAGCAAGTTGCTGCGACACTGTATATATTTAGTTTACGTCCACCTCCCCCTGAGATCACGTGAGGTGCTACATCTGGCATTATATTATAAGACACGATTTTCAAATCTTGTAGTGTGCGCAGGTTTGACATTTGAAAGAAGAAAATCTGTGAAGATTCTCCTTACGATGCAACCAGATTTCACAATTGGTTAAGATTTAAAAACTCCTGTAGTCCAAACCCGGCTTTAATTATCAACTCAAAAATAGACAGAACATTCTATTAAAACACAAGTGTTGTGTCCCAGTAGATCATTTATTCATTCGCTCAATTAGTTTCATGCACCACTCTCTTCTTTCCAATGTTTTCTTGTCTAGACATTTTATGACAGAGCAGAATCAGAGGCGGGATCATCGCAACTGTTGAATGTGAGGGAAATCTACTCTCTCTCTCTCAGAACTTTGTGGACTCACCAAAGCCATCAAGCATGAAGTTAATTAGCTGTGGAGGAGGCGTCTCTGCTCTTCCCCCACACACTGCTGTCTCATTTCCGTCCCCACTGGAGATCACAGACTCACACACACACATACTCTCATACACATTACAGAGTCTCTTCACACAACAAACATGGTTCGTACTGTTTTCCAGCTGGTGGAGTCACTCTCAGGTCTATAAGAGCAGATCCCAACCCAGTCTGTGTATTCACACCCGTCTTGTTTGGTTCGATTGAATCGAACTCAAGTTCGTTTCCCCCCTTGGTGCAGATCTTTTGGGCAGGTGTGAATACAGCAATCCCACTCGGGTGCGGACCAAACAACCTTACCTGGATGACCTTAGCACACGTGTGGTTTTGTTTACACATTTCGGTTCACTTGCAAAAAGGGCCGTGTGAAAGCGAACCACACCAGACAAAAACAAAAATCAACATTGTATTTGGTCCGGACCAAAGCAAGTGAACTAGCGGACTTTCCTGGTGTGAATACATCCTAACTTTTTCCCCCCACCTCTACATGTAGTGCAGTTTAAAAACTTGGAAATTCTCACATTTTCAGGGTTTGGGGTACATTTCATTCCTGTCATATTTCCAACTTTAATGTCATATTTTTTAATTGAAAGACTGATTAGCACAATCGGTGGTGCTTGCATTATCAACTTTACTGGTCACAGAGGCTAGCTGAAAACTAACTTGCAAAAAATGTACTCAGACATTTGGAGAATGTCTGTCATTATATAACAGTTAATTCCAGTCCTTTCATTTGATTAGCTGAGTGGTGTCCTAGAGATTTTTTTTCTGTTTGCGTCTGATTGTCTGTTTGCGGGCGTTCCGGGACAAACTGTCAGCAAATACTTTAGATATAAAAAGACGGTGCACTCATATCATTATGAATGGGAGAAAGTGCAATGCGCAATAAGCCGGAATAAGTCCCGCCTTCTAAATAACAGCCAATCGCCGATTGGTAAAGTCATCGCATCACTGCAGCAACCATCAGAAGCTCTGGTTGCAAGTGTCAAGTGTTCTAATACGCGTCCTGGCCTCACATTTATGACCACACGTCTAACCCCTCCGGTCCTACTTGCCCCGCTCCGAGTGGGACTTGAACCAGCGTCTCCGGCATGGGAGGCGGGCAAGCCAACAAGGAAGCTAAAGACAGCAGTCTCTAGCATCAGTCGCAAGTGCGCCTCTTGAGATCAGGGGAGTGAGATTTACCTGCACAGCTCTCACTAGCTGGCCTCCATTACACATGCATATTGGCAGGTCTAGTCTGAAAAATAAGTGTTTTTAACACTACTTGCTGATTTGAAATATGTTATTTCAGGATTTCCCCATTTAAGTAAATAGGACTTGGTCTTGGATGCCCGACAATGCTGCCTGGAGGCATTGCAAATGTGGCCACCGAGTGAACTGACTTTCCTCGAAATGGACTTTGCTGTCAGTCTGTGCATTATTGGTGGGGATTTTTGGATTTTCTGCAGGTTACATCTTTACACTAGTAAGTGGTGACAAATGACTGTCTTTATGAGCGAGCCATTGGGTGTGTTTGATTATGCTTAGTAAGCTGACGTGTGGGTCACAAACGCGTCAAACCTTAAAGTCATAAACAGCTGAAGAACAAACCAATAGACCAATTTTTGCTCATGACCTCGATTTTGCCATATAAACACCTTAACCTGCATTCTTTCAGCTTATTGAAGTCCTTCTCCTGCTAGAACAGAACATATAAAGCAGTGGAGATCCTAGCAGAGCTGTGTGATATGTAACAGGAAAGCATGGTTTCTGCAGATTTAAGCACATTCAACCAGAGCAAGTGTTTAGCTGTAGGGGAGGAGAACATATATATTTCTTGACCTGAGAAAGGATAAAATGTGTTCTCTAGTGCAGCTGAAGGAGCAGTGGTACAGTCATAGAAACTGCAAACATTAGGAGAATGAGTCTGTACAGGTTTCCCACTGCCATTTTTAATGATGTATTTAACATCACAACTAATAAAATAAATAGAATACTCTGAGTGGAATACATGGATGCTCATGTTTTGATGTCACCAATGGTAAAAAACCAGATTTAAAAAAAGTCTTGTAAACATGGGTTTCTTGAATTGAGAGTTTATGGGTTTGCACTGGTAAAACAGGTCTATTTAAACAGATTTTTGGTAGTCACCTGCATGTTGGTGTGCATGTAAATGTGCTTACTGGTTCATTCATTCAACCGATTAGTTAAAAAACAGATTAATTCAGGAACAAAACACCACTACATTGTGTTGCTTGGATACGTGCATTAGTCAATTCTGCTTTGACTTTGTTTGGAACTATTTTCATAAGTAAGTGGCAATATTGTGTCTAAAATATGAACTGTTAATTAAACTGTTATATAAAAGCAACATCACACCGTGGACTCATGCCTACAGCCAAATTCAGAACAACGGCATTCTTGCTCATCTGATATGGCTCAAGTAGAGGATATATGTATGATAAGTAGAGGAAAATGTAAATCCAGCTGGTTATCATCATAAACACATAATAAACCACAGCAGGTTGATCCAGAGACATGAAAGAAGCCATTGTTGGGGAATAACAGACCTTGAAATGTTGAGATTGACCAATCAGAATCAAGCATTTCAGAGAGCTGTGTAAAAAATAGCAATAAAAGCAAACAATTCTATCAATTCAACTTTGATTCAGTTCAGCTACTGAACATGTCTAGGTTTATACGACCTCTGCCTTTCAAGCTAAAGATACTAGATAAGATCATCCCCCACCCAATACCTGCTCTTCCTGTCAACCCATGGAGCCCTTTGAGATGCCTTAAAACCTACATCCACCACCCTCAAATGAAGAAGACATGTCTACAATGAAGTGTATCGAATTGCTTTCCACAACGTTTTCGTTCCCTCTCCTGCCAGAACATATAAAGCAGTGTTTTGTGCTGATCCTAGCAGAGCTGTGCGCCTTAAGGCACGGCGAGGACGAAAGACTTCCTGCTGAGCTGGGTTTAGTTTGTGACTCGAGTGCATTTCAGATATAAGGTATGACCCAGGTATACGAACAGACATGTGCCTTATGGGTCTGTGTCCCTCATACATGGTTGTCAGTGAAACAATAATGTATTCCCTCGAGGATGTGGCAGGTTTTGAATCGAGGTGCTTTTAGTCAGGCGACACAATGTGTGTATGGTTGTTAGTTTTCCTCCGACAGTGAGCAGCCTATAGCTTTATCACATTGTGCTGGTGTTTGTAAGCCTGTCATGTTCGTCACAGATGGTTGATGGATGTGAGGATGTTGCTTCAATGATAATTGATTTCTAATTAGTATGTTGATTCTAATGAGAGTCACTTTGAACGTCCTAATCAATTTGGTATCTGAATCTCTTTATGTAGCTTTCAAACTTCCCTCAATTTCTCCATCACTCACAGACAACCACACTGATGATTAGCACAACTGAGCTCCTTCCGTCTTCACACTGATTCGTTGGACAGAGTTGAACAGTAAAAGACTGTGTTACTCACAGGAAGCTGTTTCTCCAAACAGTTGCTGAAGCTCTTGGTCTGGTTGGGTTTGAGTTTCTTCAGGGGGATTCGGGTTTCGCCGATGAATTCGTTGTGGCGGAATTTGTCCTCGTCACACACTGAAATCCTAAACGAAAATAAAAGATTGACAGTCTCAGATCTGGATTGTAGACTTGCCATGAACTACACAGCTAGTTAGAAGATTTGTCAGAACTCTTTCTTGCCAAGGTTGCCAGTCAGCGCCAGCAGTTTTCATGGCCCCAGAATATTTTTCTGTAATGTCAATATATCAAAAGAAATAATAGACACTCAGCTTTAAAAAAACAACATTTTATTCTAGCTTCCTTCATTCTTTTTTTTTTTATCAACACTGTTTAGAACTGGTTTGGCCCACGTCTAAACCAAAATAAGAAAAAAAATCTACTCAGTTCAGTCAAAGAGATATTTGAAGGAGTACGTCCACATATCCAGTCAAGTGCTGAAGGTGGGCATTGCAAACTGATTCCCCACCACCTGTTTCTCATTACATTTTGATAAACACTATTTCAGTCAAATACATAGTGTGACCAGAACCATTTATTCAGTATATCCCATATAATCCAAATTCATAGCAGAAGCTCCATGGGAGGGTTTTGTGCTATCTCTTCACTATAGATGTTCATTTGCATTGAGCTTGCTCACTGTGAAATGAGTTTTCTGTGCTATTTGCAGTATCGGCAAGAACCACTTGATATGTGGGGGTAGAAACAAAGGCACAGCTTCTTTGAGTTTTGTACAGGTCAATAATAACATTTGACTGGATACAGATGAGTAATTCACACATGAAAAAGGAACGTTCTGCTGATGTCTCTCATTTACAGCAAGAACAGATGGACAGAATAACAACAAATCCATGTGTTTAAGATGGTGATGAATTGGTCAACAGCAGAAAGAGACAATTGACAACAGCCGGTATTGGAGAAGTTGCCGCAGTTCTTCTGGATTTCGTCTGTCTCAGTTTCTTCATGTAATCACAGACGGACTTGATAATGGTGAGATACCGGCTGTTGTCAGACTCCTGGTGCATACAAAAATCTCAATGGATTCCTACTGAAACACTACAGCAAAAGATTTAAATAACTGGCTTAAGTGACTTGTGAACAGTACCGTACGTCACTCTCCCGTGCGTGTCTCATATCCGTAAATAGAGAAAAGTTGCTCCAGCTGGTTTGACGTGTGAACGATGTGGGAGGGGCATAGGTTAGTGGTCACAACGAGCTAAATCTCTAAACTCTGGCAAATCACCCGTTTCGGAAAAACGCAGAACAGAGGAGAGTCTGCCGGCAAAAAGAGAATGCGACAGCCCGTAATAAAACAAGAATCAACATTGGCTTGGCTTTTCGGGGATGGCGAGAACTAAGGGATTTGAAATGTTGTAAAAGCGACGTGGACATGGCGTTTTTATTACTCAACAGGCGAGTAAGGTATTTTATTGAACAGATAAATTGCCATATGTAGCTCTCTAACAGAGTTGCGCTGGAATTTATATTCAAGGAAGTATCGTGTCTATTAATGGGTAAAGCTACAGCAACGTCTTCAGCTAGCCAGCTTGAGATCCTTTCCATCTAAACTGTTATATCTCTTAAGCCTAGTAATGAATATTTTATGAGCAGTGGGATTTTCTCTATCTCTTTTTAGTTACGAGTAAGAACCATATTCATCCGCACAGTCACGCAGAGCCAAAGCACCACCAAAACAATGTTCTTCCGCAAAATGCATGCAGTTTGCGAACCACTAAAGGGCCTAAAAGTTACATAGTGTACCTTTAAAATGAGATATTTTTGCAGAATATCCAAGCTGTTCCATACAATAAGTGGATGATTTATAATGTCAGGCTTAAAAAGGGATACCAAAGACACCATAAAAGTACTTTAAAAGTAAATATGAATATTGGTCTTCTGAATCTATATAATTTGAGGGACAGACCAAAATGCAAGTCATTTACTGAAAATACTGTCTTCTGTCTAAGCTCTCAAATCTCATTGAAGCTTTTGCACATTCAAAGCTGGCACGTCATGATAAGCATGAAAAGCAATTCAGTTTATGCACGGTTTATTCTCCTGTGGCTATGTGCCATCTAATAAGTTATCCTATATGATCCGAAGGAAGGCCTTACTTCTTGGAAAAAAAAAGAAGAAAAACAGGCAGGTTCTACCCAGTCCATTTTGTCTCTCACAGCAGCAGTACTGATCCAGGCAATAAAATCCAGATATATTTTCACTCTAGACACGTTTACTTGTTGCAGTTTCAAGGACTGGCGTAATCCTCATGCTTTACACCTCATAACATGACTCATTCCTTCAACTCCCTCACTAAGAAATATCATAAAACCCCATGAGTTAGAAACAGACGTACAAGCGAGGCACTTCAGGTGAATAGTAACTATTACAGAGTAGTAATAGTTTATATCTAAAAACATTTTCATACATGATGCATTTGTAGAAAATAGCCCCATCAGTACATCCAGCAATAAAATACATCAAAAAGACTAATGCAGAAAGGGTGATTCTAGGATTTCAGCCTGAACGGTGGTGTATTTGGTTGCATTTTATTTTATTATCAGATGAGAAAAGAGGAGCAAGCATCTGAGAGCTGTGCTCTGAGCTGAACATTGCCACCCAATAATGGAAGGATAATACTCACTGACCCACAAATTGAACGTTTTTAACAACTCAAAGTGAAATAACCTCGTAATCTTAAAGATTTTAAGGGGGGCTGAGATTAAACACTAAAAGCTCTAACAATGCCAAAGCACTAGCAATGAGGACATACACATAATCCTTCCCAAACCACATTATTTCCATTTGTTACCTCTCCACTGCATCAAAAATGAATTCCTGAATGCTTGTTCTATTCCCATCTGGAAGTTAGATGTGTTGTTGTGACACACCATTGCTAAAGCGTTCAGCATGACTCAGTAGTTCAGCTCTCCAAAGACTTCAGTCATGTTTCAGGTAAACTGGCAATCACGCTTTCTTTCCCCTGTTGATAAAGGTCTTGAATGAGGCACGGGGCAGCTGGAGGAGCACTCAGGCATGTCCAAAAGGTCTGCGTAATAAAGCCACTTTACCCCTGTTATGTTACATGTGGATAGGATTGTTTCCCTAGACGGCATTGCTCTTTATGCTGTTTCTAGAATGGTTTTGTTTTGATTATGCCTGCCTATGGTAGTGTGTATGTTAAATGCCAGCTGTCCTCTTGGATAAACGTGCAGGGAGTTCATTTTTGTTCAATGCAATCACAGTGCATTGTGTTTTTCTGTGTGAGCTGGATATATTTGTGCATGGCCTTGAATTTGCAAAGAAAATAAGGTGGGGTAGAAAAGTCCAAATTAGTCAGATGTAAAAGCAATGGTGCTTACTAAAATATATTCTAAAAATAAATATATAATTACTGCAATTAATACACATAGACACATTGTTGTGATCTTGTTTATGGTCTGTTTTGGGTGAGTTTCAGTTTGGAACAATGTTATTGTTCTGTTTCCATGGTTTCACACTGATGTGTCACACCTGTTGTTAGTTTCATTGTTTCGTTCACCTGTGTATTTATAGCCTTGGTTTTGCTTCAGTTTCTGTCCGTTCTCGTCATGATTAAATTGGTTGTTCTGTTCACCGTGTTTTTTGGCAGTGTGCTCTGTTTCTTTTGTGTTTAAATAAATTGGACTGATGTGACTCATGCGAGGAAATCCAGCCTTTTATTATGTTTTGTTCTCAACCAACGCGGACACACATACAGTACTGTTCAAAGGTTTGGGGTTAAGGCTTTTCTTTGTTGTAAATTAATATCTTTATTCAGCAAGAAAGCTTTAAATTGATCAAAGGTGACAGTAAAGACATTTACAATGTTACAAAATATTTCTATTTCAAAATAAATGTTTTTCTTTTGAACTTTCTATTCAATGGATCCTGAATTTTTTTATCACTGTTTTCACAAAAATATCAAGCAGCAAAATATTTTACAATGGTTTAACATTGACAATAAGAATACATGTTTTTTGAGCAGCATATTAGAACAATTCTGATTACTGATTTTTGCTGTATTTCTGATCAAATATATTCACATTTTGAATGTTAAGTAGGAATTTTATACATTTAACTCACTAGAACTTTCAAAATCAGCATATATACTAGATTGATAAAGTGATATGTTAAAATTGGTGGAACACATTATATGAGTTCTCGCTTTCATTCATGAAATAATTACACTATTCTAGTGAGTTAAATATATTAAATTCCTACTGAAAATATTAGTGGGAAGTAAAATGTGAGAGTTCATGAAGATGGCCAAATTATAATGACATCCAAAAAAAATTATAGAAATTTAGATCAGGCATATTTTGAGCTAAAAGAACACAGAGGAAAATAAATAAATACACATGTCTCGTGATTTGAGATTGGAAGAGGACAGGGTTCCTGCTGTTAAAAAAGATTTTCTAATGTATTTCTCTTTGTTTTAATGTGCAAAGATAAATCCTGTTCATAAAACAAGAAAAATAAGAGGTGAAGCACATCTAACTGTATTTAATTGTCTGTAAACTTTCCGCCAAATGTGTTTGCAAATAGTATTCTTGTATTCTTAAAGCACAAAATGGCTTTCTCTGGTATAAAGGCATGAGAGGTGTGCCACTTGTGAGGGTAATTTGGCTTTGAATAGAGCTGTCACTGTATGAGATGATGTTGGCAATGGAGGTATGCCTTTTCAGATAAATCACATGCTTTCATAGCCACAGGAGGAGTTCGCCATAGCCCGCCACTAAAACACCACTTTGATGTTCATCAGCGGCACATGAAGATCGCCGGCAAATGAGGTTTGGTGAATAATGGGAAAGACCGAATGCTAGAGTGAGATAAAACCTCAGAGCTCCATTGTGTGAAAGTGTGAAAGACTGAAGCCTGACATCATGTACATGTCTGACTTACACTCTATAGGAGAAGCTGTGGGTCTCTTTGTGAAGCTGTCCATAAAGTTTTCCCTGCTTATGAGATTCTACATACATCTGCATATATTACATTTCCTGCTCCTATATTTTTATTTTCCTAAATAACATGACTCCCCATATCCTCTAAAACAAGGGGTTTTAAACGT